CAAACTTAAAGTTTCTGAAAACTGAGAAGAAGTTGCTACTATAAATAATTCTTCGTACCTCTCCGTTTTACTAGATTTTTAAACTCAATTCTTTAATCGAACTCTTTTGTACCTCTTTACGAAAATAAAACATTTCACTTGTCAATTGATGATTTTTCTAGTTAGAAATTAAGATCTGATATGACTCGAGTAGATAAGAAATGTTGTAACGGGAGTGAAAGTTTACGAAGAATTCGAGTAAGTGCAGGTATGTCCCTAAATTGCCTGAAGGATGGGAAATTTGGGGAAAGTCGAGTCATTATGGGGACTACCCTACGTATATAAAGAATTAGACCAGCTTCAGTCGTTATTTCAATTCCAGTTTACCTAAACTATGTGGTTCTCGAACATAATCCTCTTCGTAAGTTCTAATTCTCTCTGAAACAAATTAAATTCTTACGCGGAAGAAATACATTATTTTCTTAAAAAAGAAATGAAAAAGATTACTCGATTAAAAAAACTTTTACTTTAAATTTATATATTAATTAAAAAAACAAAAAAAAACTTCAGTTCTTCGTCACAATGGCTTCGTCGCAGAGGTACTCCCGGATGCAGACCAACGACCTCACCACTGGTGAGAAATTTTTCAACGACGTGCAAATGGTGGCCCACGATCTAACAGAATCAACGATGCTCCAGAAGAAAGCTATGGTCGACACCGTGAGCACGATGTCCACGGCGAAATATGGGGTTCTGAAGGACATGAAGAATATGGACAATCAACTAGTGAATACCTTAGTGGACGTCGAATTGTCCAAATTAAGTGCGATCAAAGTCATCAAGCTTGCCTTGTTGAACTTGTTATCCACGCAAATTCAGTCTGCGACGGACGAACTGCAGAACAGTAGCATCACCGATTTACTGGAATCGCCTATCTTTAGCTTCATAGTGGAAACACTGTTACCATTACTATCAGGAAAGGACAGCACGAAAATCTGGAACGTTCTCTTTCCCAATTTATCCAATTCCAATGACGTCTGGCCACACGAACATCTGGGAACACCCGTGATTCACGAAGGAAAATCAACGACCGTGTCAAAAGAGGCATTGTTCGAAGATTCTTCGTCAACAATTCCGAAGGGATCGCCTGTCCGAAAAATTTTGAAATTATAGTATTTCTCACAATTATACTGGACAGGATCTATTCGTGAAACAACCAAGGCCATAGAGGAGTAAACCTAAACTTTGTCCCTGAACTTTCTCTCGCCTTCCACTTATAATCCACTGTTTGCTTTAAAAACAGAAGATTTCTTATTTCGAATGTAAACAGAGAATAAAGCCCCAAGTCTTCAAGGTCTCTACAAAATGTAAATACCCCGATCAAAAGTTAAACTAAATGAGCACAATTAAATATTTAAAATTGTAATTTTAATGCTTTGTGCGCCGAATAAAATTATGGAAAAAAGATGTGAATTCTAACCTTGAATTGTTCTCGTTGGAGAATAACAGTTTAAAGTGCACTACAATGTTTTATTCGTACTCTTTTACCGACTCATGGTCGTTAAACCGAGCAGCAAAGGTATCGACCTGCGTGACCCATGCAGCAATAAATAACTATGAAATCGCCTCCAATTGGGCATAAATTACAATAAGTAGATCTCATTTGTATTTAAAATCCATTTAATCGCATACATGTCACTGTTGTATCGACGATCACCGCTCGCGTCGTTCGAGAATCGCGCGGCATTCAAGACAATCGATAGGATCGCACTTGATTAATGGTGTTTGCCAAACTCGCCGGGTAATTCGAAGGTGGACACGAATATTAACAGAAGTGTATAGCCATAAAAGGAGCTGAAGGCGATTAGACGGTTCCGGATATCAAGTGTGGCTTGCCCTTTGCACTTTTTCCAACGGTAAGCGTGTTACATCATATTATCCTTGGTTGTCGTTCGTTCATTGATTTATACATATCGATCCTTGACGCAATGTTCCCGAGGGACTAACGGAATTCTTTCGACTACTGAAATGCTAAAGCTCGAAGAAAAGAATGACGTTTTTTTAAAATCAAAATAGCCTGTATGTAGAAGGAATAGTTTACAAAGTTTGATATCGAAATATATGAGATAATCACGTTTCGGGTAACATTGTTAGGGAGGGACTTGAGAAAAATCACTACTCGGTATGGCGCTGTAAAAGAATCTTCAACGTAATCTATATGTCGATTGAACGTCCAAAAGAACTTTTATTGCTATCAAAATTTTATTGTATGAATGCACCCTGTACATGGAATAAATTGAAGATACGTAGAAATACTTGACAAGGACTACTGATCCAGTCTCGGTATTGCATGAGTCAGAAGTTAACGAACGGTTCTCTCCCGTTTCCGCGGTTTTCCGGTTAATACAACGCAGCAGCTGTGTTTTTCCACCTCTTTAAAAAGCGGTCCTGATGATGTTTGCGAATCACTGCAACACAGTGTATCGTGACAGTTCTATTGTGTTCCTACTTTGTTCAATTATACATTTCTACAAACACGTGGTTAATTATTCTGCACTCAACAGGTAAAGACAGGTACAACGCTGTGTTTATTTGACAAATGAACATCCTGATAGTATTGCTCTGAACAAAATTTTGACATGTTTGAGGTATACTATTGTTAATTTCTGCTATACACAGAAGATGAAGCAAATTCTCGCTGTGCTCCTGTTACTGTCGGTAGTTAATGCCGTCTTTACTTGGGAAAAATTCCATACTGGAATATTCGACAAACATTTCGCACCATATCACCAGTTTACGCAATCGGACGATAAAATACCGCCATCAGGATGGTTTCATAGACCACCAGAACACAGGCAACCGCCGCCAGAAAATTCGTTTATACCACCAGGACACAGGCAATCGTCGCCAGAAGATTCGTTTATACCACCAGGATATAGGTATATACCTCCAGGACATGTGCATGACCCGCCAGGCCAGGTGCTTTCAACATCATGCCAACTTTTGGACCAATTAGTTATGTTTCAAGTCAATCAACAGATGGCGATGAGCAAAAGTTGCACCGTCGCGTGGATTTGCCAGAATCCGGAAACTAACGACATGGTACGTTACTGTTATTCATTATAACGTTTATAATGGAAGATCTTTAATGTTGTCATAAGGTGTTTTTTTGTATTGGCCTTCAGTATAAATTTCGTTTGATTCATTTCTTGTCTAACTCCATCAAAATTCTAAATATCATTGATGAAATATTGAATTCTTAACGTTAAAGGAATTTTTCTCTTCTCTACTTATGAATAATCACTTATTGCCAATCGGTTTATTCGCAGGTTATTACCGGTGTCAACGGAGCACAGATAGTAATTCAGAAGCATCCAAACAAATGTTCGGACGAAAATCCTGGTCAAACATGTATTAATGAAAAAGAACCTAATAGTGAAACTTCTAAAACGCCTCCATCAACAATACGTACTACTACTCCACAGCCTAAAGTGACTGATTCCATCCGTCACAGCGGAGAAGGAATAATCGATGTTAGATCAAGGAAGAACTAAATGGACAACATAAAAGTACGACGAAGAAAACAAGAGTTTCTCTTGTAGTTGTGTATTTTATTTTTTTCCCTTCATTTTTCTTTCTTGTGCACCAAAATAATGCATATATCAACGTAATTAAATACAGAAATATATATTTTTCAAACTAAAAGATTGACGATCCAGTTCTGACATCTGCCGCACTTGCTCCCATTATTTCCTTGATTTATATGTTGCATTTTTATTATTAAATATCTTTAATATACATTTTGTTTATTATTAAAACAATTAACAATATAATAAAATATCAAGGATACCATTAAACAGGGACTGTAATAGTAAATTAACTCTTACTAAAGAAAAGAATGTTGATACATTTAAATTGCTTTTGGTTTAAACATTTTCTGTGCATATTTATAGATAGTTAAGAATCTTCGATAATACATACGATACTATTGTTAGGAAAGTTTCTTACTTTCTTGTTTCATTAGAATGAACTCCTTCATATGTAAGAAAAGAAATATGATACAATTGAACACACCTTATTATAAGGAAAATATTATTTATCAAATTGTGTTATTTTGCGTACTCGTTCCTATAAAGTAAGTAAAATTAATGTAATGATCGGTAATTCACATTACCAAATTAAAAACTATAATCCTACCGAGATTGCTAAATTAGAAGTATTGGATGTTCCTGGAAGATACGCTATAAGTCCATCTTCGTTTACCGTGGCATTGGGGTTTGTCTTTTTTATGTGGTCTATGGCTTTTTTAGCAACTTCACGAACTGTTGCAGCATTTACCAACGGAGTTGTGCTCCAAAGTGGACATTTTTTACTAAAATTGTAAATTTAATTTGTTATACGGTAGTATTTGGCCCTATTAGTTAATTGGCATTAACAATTTTTAGATGTTACTTGTTAAAATGTTCATATGATCTAATTCCTTCGTCACAAAGATAACACATTAAAGCTCCACAACTACAAGTGATTTTATTGCATCCATCTTCTTTAAAATACGGACGAGAACACTTGTAACATTTACGCACAAGTGCTTCGGTCATTTTCTCTTCCACAAATAAGCGCGCTTTATCGGATTCTTCTTCATAGCACTTAAGCGGTATATGATTTAACTTTCTACAGAATCTATTTTAAAATAATCATATCATACAATAATATGTGGCAATTAAAAATTTTCTTGTTTCATGTAATATTTGATGAACATCGTTAATGTATTTTTTATATTAAACCTACCGACACGATTCCTTCATACACTCGGGATTAAGACATTTAAAGACTTTGTCTTCTGGTGGAGGTATAGATGCAAAATGACAAAATGGACAGGAAACTAAACCTTCTAATCCAGCAGCCATTACTTCTGCTTCTTGCTTCTTACTTATAAGACTACTAAACTGTGTTGGTGATAATATCTTCTGAAGAGTAGGAAGACTAAATTCTTCATCACAATTTGTAAAACACAAAATGCGTGTTTCCCCTTGTGCTAACATTGATTCAGTTCCTTTTAAAATACATGAATTACAAAATATATGGCCATCAGCGCATGTTGAGCATTTAGATGGTACACACTCATCATTATAACAGCACTGACATTCTAAAAGTTCGTTTCCTTTCTATTAAATAAACAAATTAATTAAATTTTATTTTATTTTCGGTCTTTAATATTTATTCCAAACATAAATCATTACCTTCAATTTTTCAAATTCTTTAGCTTCCTCGTCTTTTAATTTATCCAGATACTCCTTAATTTGCTTTTTATGTGTTATAAATGCACATTCTTGCAATAAAGGAATATTCATTGATTGTGTTTTTCCCCACAAACCCATATTTTTATCTGAATTTTCCTGAGGTCTCATATTTTCTAATTCTTCCGCAGTTGCAGTTAAGTGATACATTTTTGACTCATATACATTTTTTAAAATTGCAACCTACAGAATTCAAATAATATAATATATACAGTGGGACATTATAATTTAAAAAACATACCTCAATTTGACTAAAATAAAATTTAAGAAACTCAAATGCATCAGAATTATATGTACTCTTTCTATTTGGATTTTCAAACTGTGTAAATGGATCTGGAAATATTTCTAAAAACTGCTTTACATTGAATTTAGTAGTGTATTGCATTTGTTGTTGTGTAATTTTTGTCCTTTGTAATTTTTCCTCCTTTGTTGGATAAGTAGGATGTTTGCACTGAGTTTGTACAAACTCTATTATTGCATCGGGATTATTACGTGTTCGCGCTAAGAATTTGTTTAAATATACAGGATCTGCATTAGGAAAGATGCCTGACAAATATGCATATTTCTCATCTTGTTCAAAATCTTTTTTTTTACATGTGCGTTTAGTATCTGTTTTAACTAAATGTAATTCTTTATCTTGTAGTATAAGTTCAACTAACTCATCTAACTGTTCAGTTGAAGGAACATTATCCCTGTCTAAATATTGTTCACACATTTGTCTAATGTAAGTCTTGTCTACATCAGGAAATATGAGTGTTAATTCTTCATATATTTGTTGACATTTTAGGGCCAAAATTCCTTTCTTTCTATTCCAATTAATTTCTTTCTTTCTAGTACCAGCAACCACCTGATTTGTATCATGTGCCTGATATGTTGCAGTTGAAATTGATGGTTTATTAAAATCTATTATTATTGCAGTATCATCATTACCAGAGGAAGAATTATTAGAATCTACTCTAGTTTGAGTAGATGAAGCATTTGAAGAAACAGTTGCATTTGTTGTTGTTAGCCTTGGTATTGATGTTTCTGGTGTTATTTCAACAGGGCAAGGTAATACAATATTAGAACACCCTAATATTGCACTAGTTGATGCATTTTGATATACATTTTGTGATTTTGTTGCTGGAATTGGTAAATCTTCTGGTGTAGTACCAGGTAATGTGACACTAGAGCATTGTGGTGTATAAGATGGTGTATTTTGCGAAGGAATTTGCGAATTTATTGTAGTTTTAGTATCCAATTTATTAAATAATGAATCAGCATAACTTATTGCGCCAGTTTTTTCATCATTTAAATTATTTATTATTTTGCTATTGCAATTAACTTCAACATTTGACATTTTTAAAATTTTTTTTGTATTTGCATATGGTAAACTTTTTTTATTAAAATTTTTGCATGGTGGATTTAGAAACATATTTCTTATTTCAGTTCGTGCATAAAAATCTAAATGTTCAACTGTTCCAGATAATTTCTGTTTCTTAATGCTTTTCATGAAATCCAAATATTGCAGATAATTATGTAACATTTGTTCTCTATAGTTATTTGTTGAGTTTGGCATAAACACATTTCTTCCAAAAGACATACTTTTATTTGTAAAATCATTATTTTTGCGCTTTTTTAAACATTTTAATTTTTTTGCATCTGCGCAATCGTTATATTGCTTTGCCGTAATATATGTTAATTTTGATGGAGACAAAATTGAGAAATTAGTTGAAGGGACATGCTCTACACATGATGGGTTATCATTAACTATTAATTTCGCTGGACGTAATATTCTATTTTGACTATTTTGAGCAACTTTATTACATTGTATTGTGTTTTTTAACAGTCTATTATTTTTATACTGTGTTTGTGATATAGTCTCTTTACCTTCAGTATTTATAACATTTGATGTATCTTGTACAATTAATGAATCATTTGCTAAATTGTCATCTAGTATTATAACATCTTCATCACATGAATTCCTTTTTTCATTTGATTGTTTAGTGCAGTTAATTTCCTTTTTATTTTGCTTAACATTCTTTCGTTGCCTAGGCAAATCATTTTGAAATATCTCCTCACATTGAGAAGTATCATCTGTCAATTTTCTTTTGAAAGGAAACTTTACCATTGGCCTTTTCTGTGGTAATAAATCCCAGAGACTAAGCTCTACACGATTTTCTGCATAACGATTTTCGTACAACTTTGCATACACAGATTCATACTTAAATGTAGGTAAAATTGTACATATCTGATGAGCTTCTTCCTTCAATTTTGCATTCAGAACATCTAACTCAGCATTATTAGTATGGTTTAAATTATTACTACAATCTAATATTTGGCTATTTAAGGATTTTACAGGTTCTGCTTTACACATATTGTCTGATGATGATAAAATTAACTTCTCCTGTTTTTGAAAACTTTGAATAGAATCTGAATTATTATTGGGGTCATTGTTATTTTCCTCCAAAACTTCTATATCAATTATAGAAACTTTATCACAAAAATCAGAATTACTACCAGAATCATCATTATTTATATCTGTATCTGATTCACTGGAATATATCTCAATGCATAGCTCACTTGAAGTAAGTTTTTCTACATCCATTTTTTCTTAAGCAATTGTTGATATTAATTCAGCTTTGTATACAGTCACCCTGGAAAGTAAGTTAGCAACCTGGTCAAATAATTTAAACATAGGAAAAATGATGAACATTGTGTTATTATGACACTAATCATTCTTTTGTCTTGTTTATTGTTTCTTTGATATTCACAACTGTGCTCAGTATTTATTTTAGCAGTAGTTAAATGATGTAATATAATTTTTCATTATTACTTTTTTTTACATATAATGATATGTGAATGTAATATATTTTTAAGATATTTTAAATCTGTTACATAGATTCTCAATCGTAACTTCAATTGACAACATGAAAACACTATTTTATTAGAACTTGGTAAGAAAAGGGGAACATTCTGTATAAGACTGAAAATATTTAAGTTAAGGGAACTGGATGAAAGCAGCAAACAACGAAACGTCAATTTTACATTTTGTGAAGTGAAAAAAAAGCCACTAACAATAACAAAAGGAATGAAAGAAAACTTCGATTTACTTAATCAATTGACACAAATAAAGAAACGAATTGCAGATGCTGAATATCATAATTGTGTATATTACAAAGAAATTCTCATTTCGTAAATTAAAGCAAAGAAACAATTATATTGTGAATATTAACACGTAATTAATCCAAAGGAAAAATGTATACTTTTTATAAATTGTATGATAAATACATTAAAATAACTTACAGAACACAAAATTGTTGATTGTAACTCATTTGTTCTCATGAAAATAAAAAATGTTAAATTCTTAATCACTATCTGAATGTAACCGGAAACAAACGAAAGATAATTACTTAGAATACTGTGATTCCCACAGAAGTATCCATCAATCAGTATACAAACTTTGACTTAAAAAAATTGATTTAAAGAATGATGATTAAATATGCACGTATTGTGTATTATAAATGTTTTTATCGAAATTCATTGCGATATTTTATATTAATAAACAAAAACACACGTAAACAAGCATAAATTGAGCAATTGTACATTTATTGCGTACTACGTTTTTCAAATAGGAATTGTTAGCATCAAGGCTACCAATATAAAAAGCTTATGTTTCATAGAAACTTCTTTATTTATATATTGCATATGATAATATAATCTACATATACTATATGATAATAATTTATTCAATTCAATTTTACAATTTAATAAAAAATTTGTAAGTAAAGGCAGTACTTTTGCTGATATTAATTGTAACTATAGAGTTGATGTAAAGTTTTTAAGTAAAATCTAAATAATTATAATAATAATATTGCAAATTTAACAAAAACATTTAAAAATATATATAACTGTTTGCACTTATTTTTTTCCCTGCATAACACTATTATTTTCAAGTGAAGTTGGTATTAAATTTTGATAGAGGACGCTCTGATAAAAAGTGAAAACGTTTCACACTATATTCCTATCTGGAACAACATAACCTTAAAGGGTACCTTGATAACCCGCTGTCGGCGGATGAACTGTCAATTCTGGTGTATTTAGGAAGAGTGTTGTGTATTATATTATTGGCTATAGATTCAGGAAATTCGTGTTGACTGACCAGAGTCCACGAATTTCCGACAGATTTTTTACAAATAAGTTTCCTTAACGTTTAGTTTAATAAATTACATTAATACGTGACCGCACCCGTCTCTGAATGGTTACGTGCGGTGATTCATAGAGATAATTCGCAGTATCACACGTTTCTTCGAACGATATCGTATGTAAATTTATCGAATTCTTCGTGAAAATAAAATACAAAATGACAGAAGTTCATAACTTAGGTGTTGATGCCATCAGCTGTCATGCTTGGAATAAAGATAGAAAAGGTTTGACTTTCATTTAATTTGATGTAGTTCCTTTGCCAATTAATGGACAGTCTTACTATATTTTTATAGAAGTAGCCATCTGTCCAAACAATAATGAAATTCAAGTTCACAAACGTACATCAAGTGGTTGGAAATTACTGCAGAACCTACAGGAACATGATATGCATGTCATGGGTATTGATTGGGCACCAAATACCAATCGAATAGTAACATGTTCTGCAGACAAAAATGCATATGTTTGGACACAGGAAGATGATGGAAAATGGAATCCTGCATGGGTGCTTTTAAGAATAAATCGGGCAGCAACATGTGTAAAATGGTCTCCATTAGGTATACTTTTGATCAAATTAATTCATGTTGTTAGATTATATTTAAGTAAGCCTAAACTAAAATGTGGCTTATATTTTTTTTTGTAGAAAATAAATTTGCTGTTGGATCTGGAGGTAGAGTAATAGCTGTTTGTTATTTTGTGTCTGAGAACAATTGGTGGCAGTGTAAGCATATAAAACGCCCATTGAGGTCCACTGTAACTACGGTTGATTGGCATCCAGAAAACAAGGTTCTGGTTGCTGGATCCACTGACTACAAAGTTCGTGTATTTAGTGCATTCATTAGTGATATGGAAGATGCACCTGGTACTGGACCTTGGGGTCACAGTAATACTTTAGGAACATTACTTGCTGAATTCCAAAATACTCCCAATGGAGGTAGAGAGAAGTATCTTTTTGTTAATAGCTTAGATAAGGTTTATTTTTGCTAATCATTTCCTTATTTATATATAGGAGGTTGGATACACTCTGTTGCATTTAGTCCTTGTGGTAACAAAATTTGTTGGGTAGCACACAATTCATCTATTTGCATTGCTGATGCTACCAAAGGATATTCAGTCATACGACTGTATACAGAGCATTTACCATTTTTAAGTTGCGTTTGGATTGGGTCCAATTCCATTGTTGCTGTGGTATTTACTCACATTTTTTAATTATATAAGAAAAACGTTTATTAATAAATATATAAACTGTCAGTATCATCTATATTTCAGGGACATAGTTGTATGCCTATGCTGTATTCTATAGACGACAATGGTCAACTATATTTTGTATCAAAACTAGACAACACGCAGAAAAAAGAAGCCGCCGGATTGTCCGCCATGCGTAAATTCCAATCGTTAGATCGCCAGGCGAGAACCGACACGAACGATAATGCCTTGGACAGTATACATCAAAATACGATTAACTGCGTGCGAAAAGTATCAGATAACGAGTTTAGTACGAGTGGTTTAGACGGTCAGCTGGTAGTATGGGATCTCAAGGTAAACTTCGTATAATCGATGTTTAATTAAATTCATATATACAATACACTCATCAATTCAATATCTTTTTCTATTCAGCTCTTGGAGAATTCCATCGCCGGTCTCAAGATAGCATAAGTAAAATCTTTTTTTATATCAAAGGAAGACGGAAGATATTACATCAAACGCAAAAGATGTATAAATGTTAAATCTGAACAGAAAAGAAAGAAATATACGATTTCTCATTAATCCTCTAGTAATATCGATCCTTCCTACAACTAAACGCTTTATGTTCTTCGGGTAAACGTGCATCGACAGGCATATACAAGTAATGCGATTTTCCTTGCGTGCAGCAACTGTTAAGCTGTTTCAAATGTCCCCTATATATTCGAGTCGTTTTTGCTGGATCATCTCTCTCTTTCTCTTTTCCACTCACCGTTACATCGTTATGACGAATGCGATGCCTGTTCATCATTTTGGCGAGCGGTTTGCATACTTTCAGGCGTTACGACGTGATGTCGGTTCACCGATCGCCAGGCGTAAAAAGCTGGCATTCGCGCCTGGAAACCACATGGTCTGGTGGCGTACGGGCAGTTGAGTGGGGGGCAGCCGGACAAGTTCAGCGCGAATATCGATTCAGTCTCGCGCAAACCACCCCCATGCTACCGTGCCCGTCGCAGCAGCTCCACCTTCCTAGCTTTGTTTTCTGCTCATCGTGTCATGACTGACACATAAACAGAGAGAGAAAGAGAGAGGCGCACCGCGGTAAAAGGTTGTGTGCACGGTGCACCCCGTGCTTCCACGAACAGAACCGATACAACGTTACATACGGTGAACAACGCGTTCGTATCGTTCGATTTTCAAGAGGACGACCGAATTTTCGACGCGAGGGAACGAGATCATCGTCGATGATGCTTATCGATTTGACGACAACCACTTTCAACGAGACATTCCATTGTTCGCACGCTTTACTACAGTGAGGTGGTCAAGTTTATTACATAAATCCGGGTCGTGTGACGCGGATGGACGTGATCTGCAAACGATTCATCCCTTTTTATTTTTCTTTCCTTCCGACAAACGTTGGTACATTGAATCAGTAAAACGTGTACAACTTGTCTTGAATCTGTCATTTCACGGCATATATTTCGTCGTTTTATCCAACGTCTGTTTCTTCCAACCTGTTCTTTTCTTTTCCCTCTGCTTTCTCGTCCTTCGTTCACGACCAACATACACACGTTCCCCTTTTGCTTCTGGTGTACACCTTCCGTCGAATGGTTCGCGCGACAGTCACGGGCTGTCGATTAAAATAGATCCTTCCAGTGAAAACGTTCCATCATCGATTCGCCGCGTGTAACCAGCTCTCTCTCGAAGGGTTGCGTTTCGTTCCTCTCGACCACGCGCGCCGATACAGCCGATAAATTTAGAAGGCTGTTGGGAGATATGATGATCGAACCGTTCGAAAATTGAACGTACTCTTGTGTTACTTGCGAAACACCATATCGACACGACGTAAGTACTGTCGCAACGTGCTGTGATTGCCATCGTGGCTGAACCCTGTAAACGTTAAGAGAAGAGGACGAAAACGAAAGAGAAAAAAGGAAGAAAAAGGAAGCTGTCTACGAAGAGTTCGTGCTGTGACGAGTCTCGAAGATTCTCTCAGTGTTGTTGGCGTGTGCCTCTCGAGAATATGAAACGCTTTAATCACGGCCACACGCGTCCGTATTCGTCTTGACTACGTGTCGTGGCTGAGCAAAAGGACCGCGTCTCCACTTCTTAAGAGATGTCTTCGATATCAGCGCAGGGGGTCGTTGAAAGAGCCAGCGCCGAGTTGACCAAGAGAATCAACGGTCTGGGGTTGAGAGCATCTAAACATCATGGTTGGTGAATCGTAAATTAACATCGTTTGCTGTTTCTTTTTTTTTTTTTGTCGTTGTCTAATGGGACTCGAAATCGTTAGAGGAATTTTGGCGAAATGATGCAATGGAGAGATTAAACAGAGATCGTGTGTGCACGTAACCTTTTGTTATCACCCTCGTATCTTTTGCTACTAGCATTTCTGTTAGATAAGAAGATAAAGATTCACGATTACTTCTAAAAAAAAAAAAAATTTTTTCAACTCTAAGAGAAGTGCAAGTTCTCAATCTTCTTTTCTTCTTGAATTTTTTTTTCTCAAGATCAGCTTTTAAAGAAAATGCAACTGGGTCGTGGAAAATTCGAGGATCATAACAGAGTTAACTCAGCAACAGCAACATTTCCATCGAATACTTCATACGGTATGACATTTTACCGAGCTTTTAAACCATCGAGGGTTGCTTACCAAGCAATAAACTCATTCGAGTAGACGATCCTCTAATTATTTCGAGCACCTCGTAGCCCATTTTATCCTTCGTGCAAATGGCCCTCTTTGGTCGAGAATAATTTAGAATCGATAACTTTACCTCGAGAACAATTTTCAACCGTCCACTTCTAATCTCAGTTTAAAGAATAATTTAATACCATCGAATGGTAATTGAACATTTTTTTTTTTAATTTACCCTTCGACGATAAGTTACATTGATTTTTCTTTCTCCTTGGTTCGTCCGCGGTTTATTTTATTATTTGCCTGGAATTTCGAACGTTCACCAAAATATAGGGCGATCCGGGGAATTTGGCTATCCAGTTATTACGTAATCGCGATGACGAATTGATTTCCGTCGAACCGCAACCCCGAGCCGCTCCTTCCGTGGCGTTTCTTAATTCTGCATTATGCAACGTCAGCCTGGCACCATCGGTTGATCGCCTAGAATCCGTCGTCCCGGCGATTCTCCTCCGATACGCCCGTTAAAACGGCCACCAGGTGCTTTTAGTCGCAATCTGAACTGCAATGGAATCGATAGCATTCGTCCTCGTACACGTGGAAACGTAGAAACCGAATAGACTGTCCTGGAATCATTCTACCTTATTCCATTGCTTCTTCCCTTTGAACAGTTACCTGGAAAATGACGCAAGATTCACCTCCCACCATGTACAATTCTCTTCTCAATTTTCATCTTAAGATTATTCAATTTTTCTTCCTTTTCTTTGGTTTGTAATTATCGATATTTTGTCTGCTCTCTATGTACGTTATTTTGTATACAAATGGTCCATACTACCTGTGGAAATAAATACATAAGTAATTTACTAACCTCACAGACATGTATGATACATTTTGTATTCTTAACCTGTTATTTGAGAAAGACGAGTTAATTCGTCATTGGTTCATAATCATTTAGAACATAATATTTTATTTAGTGAGAGATTATTCATCTTTAATTGCACCGTTATGCTCGTATTAAATATAAAATACATCATATTCACATTTGCAAGAGGCAAAATGAAGTAATTGGTTATAATTTTCTTACTTTTCATTGTAAACGAGAGAGACTCGATTTCTGCTTAAGAAGTGAATCCAGTTAATAGGTTAAAAGTTTTTTTAAAACTAGTTTCACAAACAAATTTTAAGAATTATTTTATACAATTACTAACCCCACAAATATATTTGATGGAATTTTTATTTTGAAATAAAACAATCGAATCTATCTAGAAAAGAAATGCATATTCCACGCCTATCGTACAATTAAAAATTTCCCTTAAATAGTAAACACGGAATCTGTCAACGGCGCAATAATAACGCGAATCATGAATGGCGGAAATATCCCCAGGAAAATAACGGGCGCCATTATACGCTTTCCGCGGTTACGCCAGAATTTATTCGAAACCGTTGTTAATTATCGTTAATTGTTGCCGCCGCGACGATCGCGACGCGGTGCGTCGTGTTGTGTCTATCGACGGGACTGGGTCGGCGATTCACGAAGCCGGAAATATCGGTGAATCGACGATTTGTCGCGTCTGGTGAACGCGAGAAGCCGAGCAACGGGGCGTTTTGAATGGGGTGGCAGGAAAACAAAAGGCCGTGCACTCACGCACGCACAACGCCGCCGCTTTCGACAGAGAGCAGTGGATTTATTTTAACGCATAAAATAGGCAATCACGGTGGCTGGATTGCAGCCAGCCGTGCTGCACGCTGACTGATAAAATCACGGAGGATCGGCCCAGAGCACTTCTCGTGGACGATTAATCATTCGTTCCGTGTTGTCGGACCAATCGTCGCCGAAGCTTGCCACCGAAAGCTCGAGAGCGCATTTGGCCGTGCCACGACGAAGACGCGCATGAAAAATAAATCGCGTGCTCGATGATGAATCTTATACGATGTCGCAACCTGTGATTCTATTCTTTCACCGAATTGTTAGGTTAGGTTCTGATTGTTCAGAGCGTATGGAGAGAGTTTATTGGAGATATCGAGGAATATGGAATATAGAAAAAGTTGTTAGAAAATTGTGATCCCTTCAGATTTGATGATTTTACTTCTAGAATGAATCGATGATCTTTTTCAGAGTAATAATGATTGTAATATTAGTAGAATACAGTACAGCGTCAGTTATCCGAACCATCGGTTCGAGGAGTGAACAAACTTATGGTGTAGCGGTACCGATGGATAAGTAAAAAATAAACTTTCTTAATAAATGTATATTGTTACTTCAAAGCATTTTTTTCAAATATTTTCATCAATAAGTAATTTTAGGCTTCATTCCTATAGTTATCAACTGGGTAACTACATGCATATGTTTCATTAAGTGAACTGTTCGATTATCCGAACCATCTCAGTCCCAATTGGTTCGGATACTGACGCTCTACTGTATTAGAATTGCTCGACTTGCACGAAAAATAAATAGCGTGCCGGATGATAAATTTTATACGATGTCGCAATTAGTGATTCTATTCTTTGCTCGGATTGTTAGGTTAGGTTTCGATTGTTCATAGGGAATGGAGAGTTATTGGAGAAAATGATTGCGATCCCCTCAGATTTTATGAATTTACTTCTAAAAAAAAGTCGATAGTAATCTTTTCAAGAGAAATAATTGTGGTATTATTAGAATTATGTAGTATTTCGTGCTTCTACAATGTATAAATTTTTCCATAATTACTTTATAAATTCTGTAGTATCATATTTTTACGTACATAGAAATGATCCTGCGCAGTGTATTTTTTTTTTTCAGTGAAAATGTCCACTGTTGGGTATATTTACACGTTGCGCAATGTGTCGGTTGCAACGTTTTGAAAAAGAAAATTGACGCCACGGTCAATTCTGTTTCTGAATCGTTCAATTTCGAACGTTTCGTTATAGCTACTTTGTTGTGTAAAAAGAGAACTTCGCGAAAGAATCAATATGAAATGTGTTATTGTAGCAGGTTAAGCGATATCCAGATAAGAGCACAAAAGGTCTGGTCGCGATTGAAATCGTAGGTGGGCACGATTGACGGAAAAAAAGAAATGCCCGCCGAGCGATAAAGAGATAGAGAGACGGGAAATAGAGGCGTGTAGTACCCGGAGCCAAATAGGACGTACAGCTCGGAAATAAAACGAGAATAACTGCTGCATCTTCGTCGAGTTTACCTTTGCAGAAACGCCTTTAAAGACACGCTCGCCAATACACGTTTGTGCGCACGGGGCTCGTTTAAAAAATCGATTCTTTCGCGTTTTACGCTCGATACACGGAATCCTGTTTTAAAATGCAACACCTCTGTCCATGCATAAGTTGCTGGTATTTTGAACAGAAAGCGAAAATTTGTCGTTGTGGATGATTTTTAATAAACTTTTTTTTTCTCTCTACAAAACTTTTCTTTTTTTTTTTTTCATCGTGAAAAACGAAAGGGAATATTGTAGTTCGATGGAATTTAAGAGAGCCTTCAACATCAAGGAGACTTCTGAAACCTTACGCTTCCCCGCATTATCGCGTCAACATTTCCCCGATGCTGCTCGAAACAATTAGGATTATACGCTCCTGAATGATTCACAAGTCATCAAACATCTACCATAATAGAAAGTATACTTACACTATCTTATCTACCTCAAACTGTTTCGCCTCTAATCATTCTCAAATATACAAAGTAATCAGCTACTCCTATTTAAACATCAAATCCATGAATTATCTATTAATCAACTGACAAAATATACGATAACAAGAGAAAGAAATACACTGTGAAATTATTCCATTCATAATTCTCTCCCAATATCAGAAAACTCAAATTCACACTTTATCAATTGATAACAAAATATGAAAAATGAAAAATTAAATCATTCAATTTTTAATTTCCTCCAAATATATGAAAAATCAAATATACGCTTTATCAATTGACAACGAAACAAAATAAACAGTTAAATCGTTCAATTTCTAATTTCTTTCAAATACTAAAAAAGTCAAAGTCACACTTTGTCGGTCGATAAAGAAATCAAATTTACATTTTATCGATTGAGTTACAAAAAAAAAGAAAAAAAAGTACTCGAAGTAGTAAAATCCTATTGAAATCTTCGAACCGAGTCAAATAAAGGTAATAACAAGCAACGGTACCGATGGACCTACAGTGAATCACATTAACTACGAATTCGTAGGCAAAGAAAGCACGATGGTTTAAATAAACCACGGAATGTTTCAGGTGGGGGAAAGGCGAGCGTCATGGAACGCGTTACGAACGTGTTCTGCGGTAGCGGCGGGGTCGCGTACACGAATTTGCAGAGCGCGAACAATGCGAACGCAACCCCGGAAAAGCCGAGCAGGAGCGTACCGACGTCGATGAGCAACATGCCATCGGCGAACAACAAGAGTCTAAGCAGCGCAGGCACCTCCAGCAGGTCGAGAATATCGAGAAATCGGCCAAAGAACGTGCCATTGGCCAGTGGCGGAACCGGTGGATACGTCGCGCCCACCACGTGGGAACAGTTGATGGAGGACGATCATTTCCTAGGCAAATTCTTCCTTTACTTCACCCCCCTCGAGAGGAGGATTTTGGCTCAGGTGCCAGTGATCAGACGATCGTTATTATAATTAATCTTAACCAACAGACGTTCGTTCCTTTTCTTCTTATTCTTCGTTCAATCACATTCACTATTACGATTTGTATTTTCTCTTGTACGCTTGAAAACAGAATTTTCTAGTGATTTCATTAAATACGACGATCTTCTGGTAGATTTAACGAAGACACACTTGCTCAATGTGAAGGAAATCTGCAGAGTTATTTGTCCGATATTATTATTGGTCTTGAATGCAACATTTTTTGAAGCTTAATGTTTTTTTTTTTTTTTAATACAAGACTATAAGAGAAACACGTATAACAACACGTATGATATAAAAAAGGACGGAAATAGTATAATTTAAATCAAATGTCACCTTTTGTACGAACATAGTGAGTGTCGTAATATTTGTGCACAGCATTGTGTTACGTATTTATGCGCAACACCGATAAAATTCTACCTAAATTGCATTAAATGCCGTACAATCTACATCACGTGTGCATTTATCAGTCTGTCATAAGAACTGGTGCGTCACGCGTATGTAACGACTGCTAGCGAAACGTGTTAATCTTCTAGTTCTTGGCTTTAATCCGTTGGAAAGCCGTTAAACAGTCAGGGTTGACGATGAGGGTTGGGCAACGATCATATGATCCGACATGTAGGATGATTCTCCCCGGTCGTAAGGTAAATCACTTATGATTGAAGAGAATGTTGTCGCGAAATGCTTCGTAGACCGACATATTTATTTTGAAATGTACTGTGTTTAAAAAGTACGTCAAGCCTGTTGGCTGAAAAACCTCTGTTATGGATCTGTGCCTACAATGTATACAGAAGCGCGTTACTAATTTACAATCGGAAACTCTAAAGCCTACCGGTATTAGCAGTCTTTTCCTATTGGTCGAACGATCGTTTGTTCCGGGATAGGTTAGATTGATATACGATCTCGCGTACATAGTGCACCGGAGTTCTCGTAGGTCCATGTTACGCGATCTATTAAAACCAGAAGCTGTTTTCTGATGCACACTTCGAGGAAGCATCGTCCTATTCTTGTCTGTACGACATGTAGCACAATTGGGCATCGTGTTACTCCCTTTGAACAGGAGAATAAGAAGAAACAAATCTGTAAATCGTAAGGTTTATGTATGGTGGCTTAGTGCTTCTAAAATTCTGTACTAACAGAGAAAGTTTTTTAACGATAATTTAGACAATGTATTAAGTCAGTGCGAAACAAAAATATTACACGTTTTCTTAGTCAATATACAATGTACAATATACAATACAACAGTTCGTCTAAATTAATTGGAATTTACAAAACTTCCTCATCTGAAATTCGTGAGACTGAATATGTCTATAATTTTTTTTTTTAAATATACGAAAACGGAGCAAGAATGTAATTGTTTAATCATTTGTAGGTTAGCCCAAGATGGAGGGACATACTATACGCGCGGCCTCGACTATGGGCAGGCTTGGTGCCCGTGGTGAGGTGTCGCGAGGTGCGAGCCATGCCTCCAAGTTCGCGTACGCGCTTGTACGCATCTTTAGTGAGAAGGGGATTTCATTCATTAGTCCTTCTTAGCGCTTCTGACGAGGATATCCCAGAACTGACGCACGGATTCCCGTTGGCGCAGAGGAATATCCATTCGTTGTCGCTTAGGTGGTGCGCAATCACCGACGGGGGCCTGGAAGCTCTCTTAGAACACTTGCAAGTAAGAGCCACCATAATGAATAAAACACTCCAGTAAGAAGGGTAAATTCACTTATTTTGTCATTAGAAATCAATGAATTATTTCATACAGAGGGATGGAAATACTTGCAAGAGTGCATCTAAATGTCTTTACTGTATTTCAATCTATGAAACAGTAAAACTTTACCAATGGAAATGAGTATTTCTTGAAGCATTAAAAAAATTTATATTGTTACACTGAAAAAAATAATCTTTTACTATAGAGTATTGCTTCTCTTTCAGATTGAGTAACTTTCATAAGTAATTTTCATAAGTTACTTCAGTTAAGCAAGGATATTTGAGGCATTCAGAGTACTCTGTTCTATATATTGTCTGTTATCTTTAACCAAAACATATGATTTCTATATTTCAAATTGCTCAAAAAGATTATAATAATAGAATCTCAGAAACGTAGACACGAAATTTACCTAATGCTTCTGTATTTTTAGGCATTGTTCGAGCTTGAATTAGCTGGTTGCAACGAGATAACGGAAGCCGGCTTGTGGACCTGCTTGACACCTAGAATAGTATCACTCTCCTTGTCGGATTGTATCAACGTGGCCGACGAAGCTGTCGGTGCTGTCGCTCAATTGCTGCCCAGCCTCTACGAGTTCTCGTTGCAGGCTTATCACGTAACTGACGCCGCCCTTGGATACTTCCATGCCACTCAAAGTAGCTCCCTTAGCATTCTCAGGCTGCAATCTTGCTGGGAACTTACTAATCATGGTGTAGTCAATATTGGTAAGAAATCGTTCTTCAAATATCTTCTTTAAATCCCAAAAATTGGAGAGTTGTCATTAATCATTCAGTCAACGTTGAAACAAGGTTCTTATAAAAATACCAAGAGACACACATGGCACAGAAAAGATACACAGATACGTTACGTCAAGAAGATACTAAACGTTGCGTGGCAGCGTCGCGAAAAGCGGGACGGTTGCAACATTGTTCATTCGCCAGAATCCAGGTAGAAATAATTCGCTGTGACGATACCGTGAAATTAAGTCAGGTGATGCATGCATCCGGTCATTATAAATTTAGAATTAATGAACACCTTAAGATTTATTTACTTTTCACGCTGTCGGCGACAGCTCAGACTCAAACTCCTAAGTGAGTATACAGCCTGGCTCGGCTTGTCAAGGACAACGACCGGTTGTCGTTATTTATACAGCTTCACGTTTCCGTGCAACAAGTTAACACTCAATTCTTCCATACACTTTTCCACTTACAAAAAAAAAAGCAAACACACATTATACAAAAAATTTATAAAATTTCTTCCTCGTTTTATCTTTCAGTACATTCCTTGCCCAATCTGACTGTCCTGTCGCTGTCCGGATGCAGCAAAGTCACTGATGATGGCGTCGAGCTAATTGCCGAGAACCTATCCAGGCTTCGTTCGTTGGATTTAAGTTGGTGCTCGAGAATCACCGACGCCGCCCTGGAGTACATTGCCTGTGATCTGAATCACTTGGAGGAGCTCACGTTGGACAGGTAAGAGCCGCTTAACGCGACCATCCGCTTGCAACAAACAGCGACGTGTCGTTCTCTTCTTTCTTTTTTTAAATCGCGTTAGCCACGTCGCGATGAGTTCAACCGTGGTGAATCCGTACGATCCATTCATGTTCTAAATACTGAATGCGTTAACGAGTATTCTATTTACGATCGGCTATTGCGCAATACACGCCGATGAATCACGGCGAGTACACGCGTTCAGACGCCTAAGGAGACGGATTCACAATCTACTTAAGCGGCCAATCGACCGGATGATATATCACGATTTCGAGATCGCGATCTTGGATGTCGAACGATTTGGCTCGGTTGCCGGACGTAGAAAAAACTCATTGCTTCAACATGAATGCCAATTTGTCCCGAATTGAGACGTTAACGAAACGACGATTATCGCACGACGATCGTCGAGTAATTAGTCTGAGAAAGAAGCTATTAGATTGATGTATAGGTTATGTATTTCTTCACGTAATTGTAAGGTTAAAAATTTGGGAATATGAATGGTACATAATTTCCTTTTTAAGTAAATTAGAAATTTAGGAACTAGAGTAAGATGAAATATTTTTATCTGAGTTGAATGTAAGAGAAAAGTGAAGATTTAGAAGGTTTGAATTAGATGAATTTCAAAGTGTTTGCTAGTGAATAGTTTGTTAAACTTTTTTTTTTTTCTCTTTCTCTTCACAATGGGATCATTGAGCGCATTGTTCTTGAGATGGTGCGTACTACTTAGAGACTTTGGACTTCAGCACTTGTGCGGCATGAAATCCTTACAAGTACTCTCCGTGGCAGGTAAGATCAACTTAAGGCTTGTCCTATATAACGCCCTACATTGCGCGACGAAATTTAAAGAGTAATCTTCAACGTTCTGTGAAACACGATCAATCATCGATTTAACAATTTCACGCTATTTAACCTCAAAATTGAAATAAAATTTAAAAAAGTTACGAAACGAAATATTGAAAAATAAATAAATTTTCACAGGGTGCCCATTGCTCACAAGTAGCGGATTATCTAGCTTAATTCAGCTTCGACATTTACACGAGCTAGAGTTAACCAACTGTCCAGGAACATCTCAGGAGCTATTCAACTATCTGCGTGAACATTTGCCGCGCTGCCTAATCATCGAATAAACGTCACTTTAGCCAAGGCACGGCCAGAGCTCCGAGAATTCCTTTACGTTCCACCTAGAAGACGTTTCTATTCTTATAGAACGAAACAACAACATAAAAAAATGTTTCACGTAAAGCAATACTTAGAACGAACGGGGATTACAAGTATATGTTGGAGAAGACGAATGCGGATGGGATAGGAGAAGAAAATTGACGTCCAGACGCGAAAACTACCGCATACTATGTTCTCTCATGTAACTGAAAGGAAAAAGGATATATATATATATGAAAAAAAGAAAAAAAGAAACTAACCCCTAAAAAACGTGCAAACGTTAACACTAAGATAGTGCGTAGGCAATTTTTAATACACCAGAGCTCTTGTACGAATCGCACTCCTTTTTCGCCGATGCTAGACTTTCGATTGGATCGAAACTGGTCCGATTCCGATTGTGTTGTGTTTGTTTTTTTCTTTGTTTTTGTCGAAAACGTTTATATGAAAAAAAAAAGAATGGAAGAGAAAAAGAAAGTATGCGCATCTCGATAACTCATGGTTTCCTGTGCAGAGTTTTACGCGTCGCTGCTTGATGATAGAGGAGAAACAAAAAAGCAAACGAACGAGGCAGTTTAACTAAAGTAGTAGGTTCTCGCTAAACAAGAAGCAAAAATGAAAAACGATGAAAAAAAAAATACAAAAGAATAAGTAGAGATTGTCCGACGAGACGACACAACAGACTCAACAACAAACAGTTAGAACTGTGATAAATTTTTATTATATACGTATATTGTTCTACTTCGACTATGTTTAGGAACGTTGTTTATCCCGCTTTACCGTTTAAGAACGCGCACGAGATTATCGACGCGTTAGACGCGTTGCTTTGAGAGAAAAAGCCAAACGAGCTACTGTACCCTAGTGAAGTGAAAACAAAAAAAAAAACAAAAAACGGGAAAAAGAAACGAAAAAAAGTGCAGAAAAACATTCCGATTACGTCTTAACGAGAATTTTTATTTCATGAGACGTATTTACGTAATTCGCGATGTTTTTTTCATTTGTTCGACGATACATATTGCTGAATAAACGAGAAATGAAAAAAAAAATGAGAAACAACGTTAAAGACCATTGCACATCTATGTATTGTCTAGAAGAAAAAAAAATGTTTTTGACTTATATTTTACCTACGTATATTCTGCTGTCATGTAATTAATGTTTCCTACATTTAAGGCTTACACCTAGCTAAGTTCTCGAATGTTTTTTCATTAAATGTAACGATATATCGCAATATAGAAGAAGAACGTATTTATGTGTTTAAACTATTTCGACGGTTATTTAAAAACGGATCAGTGTCACACTACTCTATGCTCCAAGTCAAGCACGTAAGATATTGGAAGGAGTTTTACGCCATCGTTGCAGCTGGGACAAGTGCAACGTTTTTTATGTTGAGACTCGTACTACCGAACATCTGTGTAACGTTTTAGCATGACTTCGACTTCTACTGAACTGAAATTATTTTTTGCGTGTTATCACATGTTTAGCACATAATGTCTTTGTATATATTGTACAAAAATATGATTAATAATTCTGTTACCAATCAAAACTAAATATAAATATATCCGCACAGTCGAAATTCTATCTGAAATCGTGTCACGTGTGACGCGAGTCACGGATATAACTTATAAGAGTGATATATAATAACACGATGGAATGTGCTGTGAAATAAAAATTTATTGATCTGGATTTATTTTTGTACTTTTAGCTATTTTCCCACCAAGTAAGTAATCCAAGACCTGGCTCATCTATAGCGCCCTAGGATATAAAATTAAAATAACCATTAATTTTCAATAAAATACATGTACAACAATCAATATTTTGCCAATTATATGATTACACATACCCCTAAAGTATAAGGGGATGTATTTTTAGCTTCTGATTTTTCAGTCTCTCCAGACACATTTGGTCCTGTGGGCAATGCTTCTGTGAAAGTTTCACTCACTACCCTGAATCTTATAATTTCTCCTAAAGTTTTTAAATTATTATTCTCCTATGCAGACTTTTAATATGTGGAGATTAAAAATTTAAAATTTACCTGCATCCATAAATAAATCATGTTTTTCACCATCTCCTGTATCATATTCCCATACCCATGCTTGCTCCATTTGATCAAACCTTGATGGATGTTGCAGTTTGTGGGGTGGAATTACAATATCCTCAAAAAAACCTAATGTTACTGCAAATAAAATTTGAACGATGAATAAATTATAACCTAATATGAACAACAATAGCACATAATATAAATATTACCATGAACTCCATCAACACTACAGCTACGTATTTTTCCTATTAAAATTTCTTCCATAAATGGACGGAACACAATAAAACGAAATACTACTTTGGTATGAGATGCACCATCACCAGGAAATATATATGATTCCTCGATCTTTATGATGTCATGAAGAGCAATACAAAGACCAACATTGAGATAAACCTTGAATGAACCAGTTAATAATAATGTCAATTACTTCTTATAACACATTACATTGACATATTTAGATTAAGTCACAACATTTCACCTTATTAGCTAATTTTCTATTAAGTTCATTGGTAATAGCATCGTTCAATTTTTTCTTGAATTCCCACGGTGGAATTCTGACTGTATCTTTCAATTCCGCGAGCACAAACATTAGCAAGGTATTATATTATAAAACAACACAATTTTCTAATGATAAAAAAAATATTTATTGCTTATGAATCACTAACACAATATTTATCTCGGTTGTTTCAATAAATATGTGAAAGTATAATTTTTATCACAAATTGTATGTGCTTTGAGGCGAGTCACCTCCATGCCACATACATCGAGAAAAACCACATCTCTATCAACATAACCTTTAATACACGTGCTTCAACATAGCAAAATACGAAATAGAAACAGATTTCATAAGTTCCATACTTTGACTTATCGTATGAATATCTGAAGTGAAGAATGTAATACGAATAAGAAATTAAAAGATTCGTAATACAGTTAAACCGAAACAATATTAAAAATCTACTTCGATAGATTATTTAAGGTAAACACAAGATTGACAGTATGGATGTTGTAAATTCTATTCTGGAAAAGAGCACTCAGGAAAAGGATACATATAAATCCATAGTGGTGAATAAAGAAGTAGACGTTGAAACAGACATAGGAACTCTTCTAGCGTTAGATTATAATGCTTTCGACCTAAAAGACTTCAGGTAACCTACAAAACTCTTTTTGTATCACAATAATTTTCACTTCAATACGATTATTTTTATTTAAATTACAATTATTTTTTATATTTTATAGATCACAGCCTGAAGAATATTTGAAAAGTCTAACAAGGGGCAATGTGCAAATACTCATTAACAAGATTTGGGAACTTCCAACAGAACGTATTGATGAAGTAATAATAGCAAAATTACCCAAACCAACATTTGTATTGCCACGATCTCGACAAATTCCAAAATCAAAACCTTTAACAAAGTGGCAACAATTTGCCAAAGAAAAGGGTATCAAGTCTAAGAAGAAGACTAAGTCTAAAGTTAAATGGGATGAAGAATTACAGAAATGGATTCCTTCATTTGGCTATAAACGTAACAAAGCTATGGAACAGAAGGATTGGTTAGTAGAAGTTAACAATCATGACAAAGCTGTGCAAGATCCAATTGCAGCTGCAAAGACAGCAAAAGAAGAAAGAAAGTCTAAGAATGAATTGCAGAGATTACGGAATATAGCTAAGGCAAAAAATATTAAGATTCCAAGAGTAGGACTTCCTACCAAAGAACATTTCCCTGATACACAGCAACTTTCTCAAGCCATCACTGTTGCACGTACATCAACAGCATCCCTTGGCAAATTCCAAGACAGGTATACTTGTGTAGCTTATCATTATATCATTGATTATCATCTTTAGTGTAAATTTGATTTGTACATGCTCATGATACATATATATATCAGGTTACCAAAAGAAAAAGATGCAAAGGGTATTGCAAAACAAGTACCAGGTATGAAAAGAAAACCAGAAGATATTCCAGCAAATGTATATGATGAGAAGAAACGGTATAAAGATTTAGCAGATAGTATTCTGAAAAGTAACACCAAAATTCTTCGTGAAGACTTCTCTGTACCCAAGTAAGTTTTCCCATTTGTCACAACTAGTATGAATATTGCAAGAACAACATAATTGAAAATTTGTTTTCTTAGAACAAAACCAGCTAAGTCAGAAAAGAAGAAAGGTAAAAAGGTAGGAAAGAATAAGGGGGCAAAGAAACCCAAAGGGGGAAGAGGACAACGATGTTTCAGGCTTAGAGCCGGGGGTAGAAAACGAAGATAATCTTATATAATCTAGTCTTAATCGCTTGAACTTCGATGATTAATAAAATTTGAAAATTTTTTATTAAGTATGCTAGTATTAAGTACGCTAATATTAAAAAAAAAACTGTTGGAATAAATAATATTCATGTAAAAATTTGGCACTATTTCTATTGAATCAATCAGTTCCCTTAACTTAAGCATAATTTTATATTACGAATCATCATAAAAAACGTTTTAATGTGAACCCTCATAAATGGGTCACTTTAAATCATATGCAGATCATGGGTAAGGAAAACCATATTTCAAACAATTAAATTACAGTATAACAATGACTTTAAAGAACCATAAACACATTCTCTATAATATAAAGAATATTTAATCTATACTTCCTTAACTAAGAAAGCCAAATGATTTCAATAAATACAAAAGAAATAAATGTGTGAAGTCCATATTTTAGAATTAAATTAATCGAAGGTGAAATATACTTGAAATATATTACGGTGAAATTCGTTAAAAAATACAAATTGCAGGGACAGCATTCCAAGTCGATAAGGCAGGTTGTCCCTTAGCCACAGAATCAGGGTAACACGAGAAAGGTGAAAGGTCAAAAGCAGCACGGGATATCGACTCGGGGAAGTTGAGAGGGCGAGGTAACCTGGAAGCGGGTACAAGGGAGGGTAAGTGCGAAAGCGGGTTGCCCTAGAATCTGTAAGGGGTTCCACCCCGCATGTGATTTTATACGTATTGTATATCTGTACACATTCAATGCCATCTAAACGAAATACAAACGCATTAGGATACCTTGCGCAATCTATATAGGTCGAAATGATAAACACGTTCGATATTGGTAGTTTGTTTAAAATTGTAATTTGTACAATTTATTTATCAAAATTTTGATTTATTATATTTATGGTATTTGCAAAATTGCAAATAATAAATATTATCGAATGTAATATACTATGGCAAGTGAAACAGGGACACTAAGCAGGAGGTACAATAATACGATGTATGCAACATTTCAGATCGGAAGTATATTATACAACTTACGTGTCCTATTTGATCACAATACTGTTAAGCCCCGATATGCGATGTATACCCCGGAAATAACCGCAATTTTTATATTACGATCATTAAAGTGTCTATAGGCGCACGACGAAAGTATTCGCGGAAAAGTGCATTTCGTAATGGATACGATCGAGAATCGATATACCTAATTAACTTATAATAAATTCAACCGCAACCCTATCGATACTCGAAACTGAACCTAATTCTACGAACAAACTAAAAAACATTCACCGTACTATTAAAAATACCTTCTACTAAGAAGTCTATCATTTCAGTTCGATTTTCGATTTGCCTAAGCTGAGAAACCGTTCTAGAACGATATTCAACTGTCAATCGTGCGTGACTGACTTTACCCCGAGGTATACGGAAAAAATCGAACATTATTGCGTCTACATGTGGCAAGACAAATATTACATCAACGAATAAACATCGTACATAATTTTCGGACACTGTATTATCGTTTATGGCTGGCTAATGTAAGACACGATCCCTCAAAAAGTGTCTCAGCCTTGAGTAAGTCTGGATATTCGAAAAGGCGATTGAACGAAAGGCGTACATAATCGAGCGATGTAGCGCGCGTGCGAGAGCGGACAGGAGAGGGGATTGCTGAGCAGGAGGGCCAAAGGAGTAACAGCGCGCGATCGGTCGTGGGTGCTCAGTCGGTGGTTGTTCGGGACGAACGGGCGCGTCCACGAAGTGCGGGATAACGATGGAGGCTGCGTTAATTGCGACGACCGAGTGATACGCACCGTGTGTATACACGGGGATCGTGTCCTGGATTCGTGGCCCGCCGTATCCCCTTTCGCGCGCGCCTCCGCCCCGCCGTCCCCTTCTCCCCTGTGCTTGTGTCCGTGCTTCTGTGTGCGTGCGTGTCCCTCTGTAACACGGTGGTCGGTTTAGTATCTCGCGACGAAAGGGATAAAAAGGAAGGAGGGAAAAGGGAGAGGAAAAAAGGAAAACAAAAAAAAAGTGCGAGAGGACAAACAGAAAAGCAGAACGAACGAGAAAATGTCGTCCACATAGTCTAACCGAAGCGAACGGAGACAGAAAAAGAGAGAGAGAGAGAGAGAGGCAGGTCGAACACGGTGCAGTGGTTACCCTGAGTCGTTGGTACGCGCAGCCTTTTGATGTTGCTGGCTGACTTGATGCCTGCTTTGCTATTGCTGTTGCTGCCGCCGCCGTCGAATCGCCGCCGACGTTGCTGCAGCAGTTGCTAGCGATGCGAAATGAACGAAAATTTGAGAAAAAAAAAAATTTGAGAAAGATAATGTGTTGTTGAGAGGGAGTGAGAGAGAGGGAGAGAGAGTGAGGGAGAGATAGAAACAAATGTAGCCTTCATTGTTCCGTCGTCGTCGTCGTCCTCGCAGATTTGGTCGTCGTTTTTTATTGTATTTTAAATCGCTCTCTGTCAATGCGCGTTCTCTTAGCGTGAACCAAAAGAAAAAAAAAGAAAAAAAAAAGAAAAAAAAGGGAAAAATAATAAATGTGACGTGCCCGTCGGCCACCAGCCAGCCTTTTACTTTTTTTTACGCGCTTCATGTGTCTTTCTTTATAGGATTTACTCAAGTAGGACGATCTGTCGTCGAGTTCGTGCTCATCGTGGGGGTCCCCTCGGCCCTTCAACATTTTTTTTCTGGGATTTCACGTTACTTGGCTTTATGTACCCTTTTTTATTCGCTTCGTGCACGCACGTATCATTGCATGCATGTACATTCGTTTGTTGTTCTCAATATACATGGTCATATACGGCAGTTATCTTTGTCTGCTTGCTTCTTTGCAAGAATTCATTATCCTCTTTTTTTTCTAATGACTGATGATCCGTTTAGTATTGAATCAAACGAATAGTGTACATACGAGACACTATCCGTTGTGATTTAGTACTGTTTCATGCTGAATATCGCGATATGGCATTCACATCTGATTTGTTTACGTTTCACGTCTATACACCTCTTATATAAGCACTGACCATTTGCAACAAAAATGGTTGACAAGGATGAAAAAGGGAGGATAAAGAATCGAGCGAGATGGAAAGGGAAAGAAATCCAAAGGGGACAGAGATAGATAGCGGAAGGGCACTAAAAACGAACGTGACGAAGTACGGGAAGGAGAGAGAGGATAAAAAGAAGGAAAATGTCAGGGTAGGATAGGAAGGGATAACTAGAACGTGTCACGACAAAAAACAATGAGGAAGAAGAGGGTTTTTCGATTTGTTACATTTGTGTCGGGACCACTTGACCCATTGACGGGTCAAGGAGCGGAACGGAAAGATGTCAATGCGGTGGTCTCCTTGTAGTGTTCAGTTTGAAAATTTTGAAAATTTGGAGGTAAAAATGAGAAATGATTTAGGTAAATGTGTGTGAGAAATATTTTTACAAAAAAAATTCAATCAATTATTGTATTATATATACATAATTTTTGTAAAAAATATAATAAGTTTATGTTTTTTAAAGTGGAAAATAGTTATTTTGTATATACGTTGTAATCGAAGTTATTATATTATCATTTACGTTCAATTAATATTTTTAAACTCGTGATCATACTACCTTCCCTTTTGCATAATTATTTAGATAAAAAATAAATCGGGATTTTTTTTTTTTTAAATTATGCTACCTTCAGGCGATCATATTTCTTACTTGTGTACATACGATGTGTATACATCGCATGTCATGCTTATCTCTGGTAATTATATGCAGACATAAACGATAGAACTTTAGTATTTCGTAACGTGTGCTTCTCGTGTGTAGAGGAAACCTTGCTACTAGACTGTACAGTATGGTCCAGATTCATGTCACCATATTATATCGAAGTAATTCTTTCATTCTTCAAATCTGTCTTACTTCTTGAAAAGTTAACTAGTAATTTTAGATATAATCTAATGTAAAGAATTAGAGTTAATGAACTGTTAGCTTGCCAATCTCCAAACTAAATAAAAAAAATCTAATTATAGATTCTCAGGTTACATTCCAAGCTAGTATTTAGCAAACTTATCGTTCATACATACTGCTACTTGTCTTCAGTACGCATCTGTGTATATCGCTGTAAATAAAATGCTTTTCACGTGCTTTCCGCTAGAATATTTAGTGGTAGAGTTAGAAATGACGGCCGCCAATAGCGGGCGGATTTCCGTCACGTTTCTTGCCTTTCCAGAAGGAAAAAGACAGGAAGACGATGCGAAGGGATCTAAGCTCGTAACAGAGAGAACGCCTGGCCCGACGGCGTTAAACCGGGAAGAGTATAATCGTGGTGGGAAGCGATGTACGCAGCTGCGGGTGGCGCCAGTATAGCGAACAGGAGGAAGCAGAAACGATTGCAGCAAAACAAACGTGTCGCCGAGGGTACGATTCCGTCACAGCTGAAGACGATTCCAGCTTCTCAGCACCACTTCCACCACCAACACCAACACCACCACCACCACCCCAGCAAGTTTGCTCGTCCGCACGTTGTTCCACCATCTTCCACACCACAGCCACAGCCACCGTCATCTACATTCCATCCGAGCATCGAACGACGGCGTCATGTCGAGAAGTGTCAGCAGGTTGCACCTGTTTCTCCGATCCAATTCCCTATATCGCCACCACCGTTATCCCTCGAATCACCTAGTTCAGTTACTTGTGCCACTAAGTCCAATAATTTTCCTTTCCCGCCACCATCAATCCTCGATCTCCGAGTTTCGCCATCTTCTTCGGAGCTACAGGTGGGTAGATCGTTTAGCAGTAATACTTAAATTGCTCTAGGGTCGTTTTCACTATCTCTATCTTTTAGCTCTTTTTCTCTTCTTTCTCTATCACACTAGTTGCTCTTGCTAGGTACCCTGTCACGTATTATTCGCAGTTTCCTTATTCAAGTATTTGATAATCCTCGTTGCACTCTGCACCATCTTCTTGCTGGCACACCTTTACTTAATATTAGGAACACACCATCGATCGGCTGTCTGGTGGCGTATGTAAACCCCGCGATAACACATCCCCGAGCGGCTCCAGGTTCGTCAGCTGGTTATCCATAAATTGTAATTTTTAGTAATTAACATGTCCCTACTGGTTCCTACCAGCGGATACAAGCTTCAACAAATGCTGGAGGCAGACAGTGCAATGTTAGGAGTAAGTTGTAGTGCCTGGTACCAATCACAATCAGGGGACCTTTGAGGAGAAACTTGTGTGGTTTTTGATTATTTGTTGGGGCTAAGAAGGGATAAGGAAAAGTTTTAAGTTATACGGTGTACAAAGAAAGTGGAAAGGAGAAAAAGGAGGAGGAGACGGTGCAGAAGGACGGTCGAGATCTTAACGATCAATAAAACAGGCAAATGAATGAGCGGAATGCAGGCTGCTTTATTGATTAGAAGGGAGAAGCAACGGTTACGGGGGGGTAAGGTGGTGAACTTTAGAGAATTACCCTCCAACTTGGCCACCAGACTTATTCCGCCGCTTCCACGATATCCCCCACGATCATATGTTTACGGGGTAAGTATCAAATCATTGCAATATGCTGTATCATCGACAGTAAGCTATTGACATCAGAGGGTAACTGCTGCTTCCCTAGCTAATTATCTGTGCATCAACTTTGTACATCTCTTCTTGAGAAGAAGAATTTATATTGTAGTGTATACACGATGTATGTCCCTTTTTTACTTTCTCTTGTCATAGAACGGATGAGTGTCCCCTATATTATTGTGCATCAACTTTGGTTCGTGCTCAGAACATGTGTTTGTTAAAAATATTTAGAAAAATTGAAGTATATGCAAAATTTCAAATTTTTTATATCATTACATCATTTTAATATCAAAGTTATAATTTAAAAGTAAGGGTAGCAAATGATTGTGTGATTTTTCATCTTAAAAAGGTATTTTGAAAGAGTTTGAACATTGAGATGTATGATAATAGCCTTTAGACTAACATTATGGTGCAAAAAGTTGTAACTTTTACAATGTGCACTACACAATACTCCATACCCAGAGGTTGATAACTGCCACTAATTATGCTTAATCAATTCTTTGTTGCCAATTAGAATGCAATGATTACAGTGTACTTGTGTAGACAAGTTCTACGATACATGTACGTATAAACGTTTATACACATCTCAATTGGTTCCATTTATACAAATTTTTCTATGTTCTATTTAGTACATGCATGCATGTTTTTTATATTGTTATTTATGTGCTGAGTAACGAGGAGGAAAATCATTGGTTAAATTTATCTAATTGATATAGTGACAAATGATAGATGTTTGTTTCAATGAAAATGTTTTAAATGATAGAGAAAGATGTAAATTACATAATCATAATATTATTGCTTTTATGTTCTGTATTTATTTATATTCTGTACAATAGTACAAATAATATTTACAATAGATTAAAAGAAATGTTAAAATGTACTTAATATATTAGATTGTTTGTAATTTTTATTAGTCAAAATTTTGATAGACATTGAGACATTGAATGATTTTAATTGTAGTTGTTAAGTAAGTGGCTGTAACTGTAATACCTGAATGTAGAATAATTTCAGTGTGGCGGGGGACCCGGTAAAGCAGCATGGCAAGGATGCAGCAGACCTTCTCCCCTTCCTTTATCTCCTATGTCTCCTCACGGATGCCGTGGGGATGGCTACAAGACAAAGCAATGCGAGGCTCATCGACGATGGATGAAAAGGAACAGGGTAGACTAGCGTTTGTTAATGCAATTTACAGAAAAAAAAAATTTAAGTTACACTATATAAGTACGAAACATCAGATACAGTACCATTATCATTTTTTAGATAAGAGACGCGAGCTATTGCTACGGAAGCAGCGAAGATGACGAAGAAGATGGAAGCAGTAATGCAAACCGTCGTAGAGGAGAAGTTAGTGCGGCAGTGAATACCGTACTTTATGCGGGGCTGGGAACTACAGCGCTCGGATTAGTTATCTCGTTTGTCGGCACTGGAGAGAAAGGATTCCTCAGTCCGGAATTGAGGCTGGTGGGTCCTTCGCTACTGTGCGCCGGTTTACTGTGTTGCCTATTTCGGGTGCTGCTCTGCCTCTGTCTATGTCGTTGCGGTCAATGCCGCTGGCGGTTTTGCCATGTTGCTTCTGACAAGAAAGAAAAAGTGAGGAAAGCGGAAGCGCGTCCAGCTGGAACATTGCCTACCGCCTCACTTTTATCACCAGCGCAACAACAACAGCAACAACAGCATTCGGCCATGTCTTCGAGTGGCGCTGCATCATCATCAACAAAAGCACATGAGCTCTTGCTCTCTCCTGCCCAATTACCAGAGTGAAAACACCATTACGAACGTTTTCTACGAAAATCTACACGCCGATTAACTGCCGGTTCTTGTCCAATATAGAATATCTTATCTCTCCATTCGACCTGAACCGTTTTCGCAAAACAAAAAAACAACAAACAACCATCACAGCCTAATTCTAGTTTAAATGCGAATTCTAGCGCTTAACAAATAATAGTTAAATAAACAATCGGCTATGTTTTTCTACCCCTACCGTGTTTGAAAAAGTAAAACAAAAAAAAAAGAGTAATTATCAATGAACCTTTGAACTGCCTCCTGGTTTATTTCCTTCCACGTTTGCGTTTTCTTTACAAGAATTGCCTAAATTTCACCTTTCTTTTGGAATTTTTTTAAGAACATTCGTATTCTATTCTTACAATACAAGATCAGTTTACCGTTTAAACTGACTTTACAGTCTTTTAAAAAACGCAATCTTGCGAGAAAAATTGCGTTTCACGTTAAATAATTTATATTAACATCACTTTAACATGCAATGATCAGGAAAGTTGGAATTGCATTTGATCAGTAGAGGTATAACTGTATATAACAGGTGTGTCAGAAGTGGTAGCACTAGACGCAGTTGCGGCAATAGCAAACAGTTGATCTTCATATATAGTTCCTTGTGGTTCAGTTTTTCCATTACCTGTTGTACCACTTCCAGGAGGATTGTCTCCTTTTGTCGCTTCACGATACTTTTGTAAATATACTTTTAGTGGTTCTACATAATTGTCAAAACCAAGAGTCGTCATAGCAAATAGAATATCTTCACCATTAATAGTCTTGCGTTTTTCCATATGACACCGATCGCTTGCTTCAGATGTTATGAAGGATATAAATTCAGATACACATTCTTGAACACATTCACGAGCATCTTTTGCTATCTTTCCTGCTTCTGGAATGGCCCTTTTCATTATTTTAGCAACATTTGCTATTGGAAGAAACCGGTCTTGTTCACGAAGAGGTCCTGCACCAGTACCACCTCCAGCTCCTTGTAAGGGGTCACTTGCTCCATGATTTGAATCATCCGTATTCTCAGGATCATCTGAACAAAAGTATAAACTTAGTTTCTGCAGTGATAATTACTTACCCCACTTTTTATAACTTCGGAGCTCTTCAAATATATAAGATATATTACATGATATCAAACAATAAATAATAAAAATGTAAATACATGAATATACATATTAACATTAATATTATTAAGTACTATAACACTTTTTTACAAAATAGAGTATAATATTAACATTAGCAGTAAAAATTGTCAGTTAAGAAAGCATTAAAAAATATCTTGTGTCCTAATAAAAAAATTAAAATTAAAAGTTCAATGATTGTACAATGTCAAATAATGGACTATAATTTTTTATTTATGTTAATAAAGATTTCAAAACATTGCTAACCTACCTTCCATGTCATCAGACTGTACACTAATATATGATGCTGATACACCTCCTCCTCCAAGGAACGCAGTTGGCCCTAAAGGCCCTCCATCGTCGCCACTTTCACCACTATTTTCCATTTCCAGTTTAGCTTACACTAAGTACACGACACAAACACTTTTATTCTCTTAACCTGTTCGTAACTTTGTTTTCACAATACTTTAGTGCTTTTTTTGGCATAAACAAGATCATAAATAGATATCGATAGTACCTGCGTTGAACGAGGTTTTCCTTGGTACAACTAGTGCCCTCGTAGGAAATAAATTCTGAATTTATAATTACGTTTAATTTATTTTTCAAAACGAAATTTTTATACAAATGTACACTTTATTGTTTTTTTCTTTAAAATAAAACATCTTGTTTCTATTTACTGTACTAGGTTAAACGCAAAAAAAGTCTAAAAAGGAAAGAATCATTCAGGTAGATTTGTAAGAAATTTAAAACGTAAAGTGCAATTCACAAAGTACATCTATAAACGAATATCTCAGGTAGAATAATAATAATCGCGGTTTCATCGTGTGCGCATAAATGCACGGCAATTAGTTTATTTAAAACTGTCGATATGGCTATGTCTAGTATTTTATTAATACGAAAAGGTTTTTCAGTAAACGGTAAGCCAGTTTTCTTTATTTGTAATATATGCCAATCACAATTCATATGCACATCATTTTCACTTTGACGTTTCTTGTTGGAATTTCTAAATGATTTATCTAATTACGAGGAAAATATTACAAACCGTATAATACGAGTGATGATTGCATTTGTTTGTGCAATTTTTGCATTATATATTAGCATCAACAATGAATATATACGGTTTTCTTTATAGTATAGTACGACCTCCTAAGCAAATCACATTTTTTAATATCGTTGTAGCTATGTAATCTGTTTTATTTTATGTATATTTCTCGAAATAATACCATAATTTTACGTATTTATTGATTAATTACCGATTTATGAAGACAGTAATATTGAATGCGTTGGAAAAAGAGGTTATGTTGGTATTATATTTTATGAGAGTTATAAAGGAAAATCATTACACAGAATATTGTTAACGATCTCATTTTTATATGATAAGTTATTTAATTGAAAAATGTCTGAATTCCAAGAAAATTTAACAAAAAAATTTATTAACAAATTAACTGATTGTTTAAAAGAAAACAAGTTTGAAGAAGCTTTAAATTTGTTTGAAGGTAGTAATTATGATAATATCATTAAAGAGTCTTCATGGGACATTGTACCAATTGTATCATCCCATCTTACTACAGAAAATGTAAAATGTAATGAAGATTTAATTGTATGTTGTACAACAATATTAAATGCTATAATAGAAAAATGTAGCCCTTCTGAAACAGTATTGGAGCTTTTAGAACAAGTGGAAGGTCCAGAGGATGACATAAAGTTTTGTGTAATATTAAGTGTACTTAGTAAATGTCTTTCTAAACTGAATGATAAAGTAAAAGCCATAGAATGGTGTATTAGTACAATAAGGTCTTACATTGATAGTCTACCAGTACCAGTAAACGAGTCTGAAAGCAATACTGATACTATAAATAAAATAAAAAATGTTTATAATGCAGTTATGTTATTTTTGGATCCATTAGTAGATGAAGCATCATTAAAAAAATCACAAAATTGTGTCACATTAAGAGATTATCTTGCCAGCATTTTAATTTTTCTAATGGGAAGACCATTATGTTATCTTCAAGAAAAACAATTACAATCACATTTAGAAGAACCTTTACCTGCGAAAATTGTAACACTTGAGAGTCAAGTAACTGCAGACATGCTTTGGCCTCTAAATATTGCAAGAATAAGAAATAAAAAAACCAAGTTCAAGAAAAGAAATGTGGAGGAGAAATGTTCTAATCTTAAAGTGATACTTTTTGAATTAAATGAGAATATACCAGATTTGGCATATGCTAACTTCTACTTTTATGTTATCACAAAACCACATTTGTGGGAAAAAGTACCACAAGTATATGATTCACAATACATCTTCCAAGAATGTATATATCTTGTCATTAAATTACTTCAAGAACAAAAATGTGTTATAAAAGGTATAAATTTTATGGATCATCTTTTAAAAAAAGTAACAAGACGTACTTTAACATCACAATTTTTGGAATTGGATATTTATTTAGAGTTGTTTGATGCACTTGTTAAAGTAATGGTCTATTGTGATAGTGATAAAGAGAGAAAAAAAGCTTTAAATGTGTTTCAAGAATACATTGAAATGTTTAACATGCAAGCCAGATATTTCATTATTTTACATTTATATCAAACTAGTGAACACTCAGGTTTGCTTAGTTTAACTACAGGAATATTCAAAGCTTCTATCATTGAATGCCTTGAAGCAACACCTCCCATTCCTTATTTTTTGGGAAATAATCTAGAATCATTGATCAAATTGGCATGTAAATTACCACATGGTAGTGCATCAGATTTGGTAGAATTATCTGATGAAGTAATTACAAGCTTAAATCTTTTAAGATTTCTACTTATCAGAGATAAACACAACCAAACTGGAATTTGGAATCTAATGGATAAACTCCAAAATGATTTCTTAAAACCATTGAGAGAAGGAATAGATATATGCAGAGTACATTGGAGGGTGAAAATAAAGGATTTAGAAGAGCAAAAGAAAATGCACAAAATAAGTGAAGATATAGAATTAGAAAAGAGTGATGCTGAAGTGACATTAACTGTAGGGGGTGAAAAATTACCAGCAATGCCAGTTCCAGAAAAAATTTCATTTTGTTATCAAGCAGTAAATGGTCTTGATCTAATGGAAAGCATTTTGATTAGAGTCAATGAATGTATTGCTAATAATCCTCTTGAACAATAAAGAAAAAAATATTGTAATTTCAGAATAACTATTATATATTTATAGAATGTATATTATTCATTGTTAAATAAAATTGTTCTTCATTTGTACTTCATTTCCTGATTATTTTCCATTATTTATCATTATTTACCATTCAAATTATTTTCTGTTATAAAAAACGGAATTTCAAAATAAGTTTTGGTTTTACTAGGTTTTAGAAGTTTATGGACTTGTAGGGCATTACTGGCAGATCAAGCTGAAAATGTTAATGCACAACAAGCAAATCAGGAACATAGTAAGGAAAGTGATGAGGAATATGAGAAGAATATCAAATCAAAAATTCTTGATGCATCTTTGAAGTATGTTCATGATCTGGGATGGAGCCAGCAGGCCATCAGTGCTGGTAATTTGTAATAATTTTTCAGTTAAGTAGATGAATCAGGACCAATTTTTTGTGTGAGTGAATAAATATATCTTAAATTTAATACAGGCACAATATCATTCATTAATTGTTTCTAGTTTTAATTTAAAAACAATTTTATACTGTTAGCATACAATATAGATAATAAATAAAAATATTTAATGAAAAGTTATGTACCAAAGGTGCTGAGTCTATTGGATATCCTGGTGTAATTCATGGATTGTTCCCTAATCGAGGAGCAGATTTGGTTCAGTATTTTTACTTAACATGTAACAAAGAGTTAAATAAAATTCTTAAAGAACAATCTGATGCTATTGAAGAATATTCTACTAAGGAAAAAAAGACACTAGAATTACAAGTACGCGATGCTGTTGAGACAAGACTTAGAATGGTGATCCCATATAAGAAAACATGGCCACAAGCTTTAGCACTCATGGCACTCCCACCAAATGCACCAATGTCACTAGCTAATTTACTTACATTGGTAGATGATATTTGCTATTATGCTGGTGATAGATCAGTTGATGTAAGAATAATATGAAGTTTTGCTCTTAAAATGTATTTGAAAACATCTTATATCATTATCTTTTTTAAATCAGATAAATTGGTATACTAGAAGAATAGTATTAGCAGGTATTTATAAAACTACAGAGTTGTACATGTTACAAGACAGTAGTGAGGATCATAAAAAAACTTGGAGTTTTTTGGAAAGGCGAATAAAAGATGCAACGCAAATTCATAAAATTCTAACAACAACTTCTGACATGACTTTACCAGATCAAGCTTTGAATCGCGCTTCGGAAGCAGCAAGTGCTGCTTTTGTTACGGTAGGTATTTTAAATTTCAAATACCATTTATTACCATATATAAATTATCTATTTTTAATGTATGTATATTATCATCTTTAACAGGCACGTAATATACTTGGACTGAATTGGAATAGGTAGAAGAAAAAGAAATAAACTATAGACTGTTTAATAGGAAAAAGCACGAAGTATTTTTCCGAGTTGCTAAATGAAAATATACGTAAAAAACTTATGTATGTACTTGGAATTTTTATGCAATAATATGTAAAAAAAAACAACATTAAGATGAATTAACAATCACGGCCAATTTATTTTAATATCATATTTTAACAAGTCCTGTACATTTGAGGTCGAATTTAATAAATGTGATTTACTTCTGTGCAAGATATAAAGATATAAACTGTTAGAAATATAAATTTAATAGTATTTAACAATTACCCTGCAATATTGTTATGATTAAGACAATATGGTCTTTTTATTTTATACAAAATTACCTTATGTCTCCATTGAACAAGAGAAGATCAACTTTCATCCTTACTATTCAATTGAGCAGAAGATTATTTTATTATAAAAAATATATTTACACAGCCAAGTACTTCACAAATTGATTAAACTTCAAATTACGTTAAAAAATTAACGTATTTTACAATGAAATAATTCAAGCAAGCTTATCTAAACTATCATTCACATATCATTCATTATCAATATCACTGAAACTGATATAATTATGCCAATCAGTTTTTATAAAAATTGAAGATATCTCATAGGTTCAACAATGAGCTTTTATAAAAAGATGCTCACATCTAATCTTGTGTGATTTTTCAGAAATAGTTTTCTGGGAAAACTATCACTGTACAATACAAAATATTCAATATTTTAAAATTCATATCATTCATATTATAATACATTTTACATTGTTACAAATATTTTTAGAAGTCCAATATTAATAGTGAGCTTCTTTAATGTAATCTTTAAGAGTTTTTGGTAAAGGCAGCTTATCAATATTGTCTAATCTAGTATTTTGACGTATAATAAAACGACAAAGATATTGCAAACTTCGAACTTGAGTAAACCTGCTTACTGGTTTTGTTAATCTAACAGGAAAAGATGGATGACCAGGATACTTAGGTCGTGAATAACAGAAAACACCTGATTGACTATCATTCATTGAATGATCAATTAAATCAGCCACTGAACTAAATGCTTCACTTTCACTTTGGTTGCATAAAGAAAATAAACCACCACTATGTTCCATACGAGTATGGAGTAATTTGCCAGATGATTTAAAGCTAAGTGTTAGGACATATCTGTAGAAAAATAAATATTAAGGGCATTTTATATGCTACAAATTCCTACTGATATTTCTAATACAAAAGACAAACCTGTCATCTGAAGAGTCCCTAACTAAGAATGCACCATCTGGTTCTGATATAAGTTTGGTATCAGCTTCATTTCCTGATATTGGACCCCAATACCATCCATAGTTACTTAACTTAAGTAACTCCTCTGTAAGGCTTGCTTTTATTCTATTATCATTGTATGTATTAGCCTCTGTACTTTCTTCAATGTTTTCCACTTGATATTCTGCTACATTATTCTTTGTTGTTATTCTGGATTGCAAGTGTTGTGTTTCATTATAAGAGCATGATTGATACACGTTGGGGACATTTTCATGGTTATTGTCTGTTTCTAGATTATCAGTAGTTTGTGAATTAATTATTTCTGACTCTTTTTCAGTGTCAGAATAATTTTCTACATTTTCATTTAGACTTTCTGAGATACATTCATTTTGTGACACTTCCGTGGCAGTTGAAGTTTCATTGCTGCTTATAATTTCAGAATTTTTGCCAGCATTTTCACAATTAGTTTCAGACACATTATTCTCTTCTGTGGAAATTGTAGATTCATTCTTCTGAAGTGCTAATGGATCACAGTTTGTATCATTCTGTAAGCTAGATGCTTCTATTTCTTTCGTCTGCAAGAATCATTGTTATATACAAAACATTATCAAAACTTTTTATACACTTACCTTTTGCTTGGATTTACGTGTTGTAAACTTTTTGATTTGCATGTGTTTTTTGATATTCTTGAAAAATTGAAAAGACGTTTTATTGGAGAGAGCATTCTTTGCTTTGCTCTCGACGATTTTGACTTGTACCAAGTCTTCCTTTTTCTTCTGATTCTCTTCCTTTTTTAGTGCGTTTTCACGCTGTGAATCACGCTTCCAAAGAAAACCGAACGTTCTAGCTTTTAATTTCTGTGGTTTTGAGTTTTGATTTGATGGTTTTGCTGCACTAGCTGGTGCAGTTGTGATCAATTCCTCCGACGTTTGATTTATCATATTCAAATGTCGTGCGACCTTTCAAACTGGCTCCAAGTTGAAGAAAGGGTTCGCTTCCACTATCTTATCAAAAATTATTTCACACGCCATCTATTCCTTAACTTCTTTTCTTTTCACAATTACAATTTTTTGTTATCAATTCGTAAATATTCACCGCAACTCATCGCTTCACGATCCTTCGTACGAATTACACTTACGCTAACTAAATGCAGCGAATGTTTTTGTGTACTTTTGTTCGAACTTATTCCCTGCTGTTTCAAAAAATATGTTTTTCCACTAACTTCCCTTAAAAAGTTCCTATCAACTGTTCTGTTATTGGTCGACATATTACCTACCAACAGATATACTTTAATTTCCTAGAGTAGGAGATTTACAAGTAAAGCAATTGTTGGTTCATTTAAAAGCATTCGCATATTTTTTAAATATTTTATTTAATCTGTATCCCAATGGAATGTGATTCATTTCAAATACAAGTATATTTTACTGAAATGAAATGACATAAATTTTATTGAAAATCAGAGAGAACATACTATACTATTTTAGTGTTGTATATGTGTTGTATAACCCCAAATGTATCATTCTTGACAGTTACACAGATTAAGAATATAGGTTTCCTATGTTTCGCTTAATTATGTTTATCACTAACTGTTAGAAAGATGAGTGATTCTGAAGACGAAAATTATGTCACGTTTGGAGTTCCTCTTGATCCTATAGACGAAGGTAATTGAAAATATTTTGCGAGATATAAACATAAAAAATTCACTATGAAACTTTTTATTTTCATGTAAAATTGTTGTAGACAATTTACCAAGAAAAAAACCTGTAACAATAGAAGATCAGTATGCATATGATGCACAAGGCAGACGTAGATTTCATGGTGCATTTACGGGTGGTTTCTCTGCTGGATACTTCAACACTGTGGGTACCAGAGATGGCTGGAGACCACAACAGTTCAAGTCCTCAAGAAGTAGCAAAGCAGAGAATATTACTCAACATCCAGAGGACTTTATGGATGAGGAGGATACCAGTCAATTTGGAATTGCACCAAAAGGTATTCGTGCAACTGATGATTATGTTGATCATGGTCAAAGAGGCACAAAAAGAGAGAGAATCACCCAAGATAATGGTCCTATTCCTGGTACTCCAGTGTTAAAAGAGCTCCTGAAGCCTGTGAAGTAAGTGGTTTCACTGCATAATAAATAAAAATTAAACAATTTACAACTTTATTATTATAATTTATTATCAAGGTGTAGGATCAAGGCTTACAAAAAAGGAAAAAGCTAAGATGAAAAGAAGAAATGAGAAAATAAGACAAATACAACAAAAATCTAGAAATGCAAGTTCAGAAAGTAGCTCAGAAGATTCAGAAAATGACTATGGAAATGTTACATTTGCTCCTGATGACTATGAACCATTTAGGTAATTTAAAAATGTTCACAGTATAATTTGATGCATCTGTAAATGCATTCTAATACTATTTTTCTTCTGTAGATGTAATCCTAAGGACAATTACTTTGGTATAGGATACAGTGGCTTAGATAGAAGAACCATATTATCTGGTCATGTAAATTTATTTGATGCTCCAGCATTTAGCGTTCAAGACAAAAATAAAAAGTTATCGATACACGGACAAGCATTTGGAGTTGGTGCATTTGAAGCAGACGACGAAGATATATACGAAAGGGACGACATGTCGCGTTACGATTTTGCCTTAGGTCCAGAACGCAAACCAAAAACAAGATGGTCGGATGATAACAGTTCCAGAAATTCAAGTAGCAATTGCTTGGAAGGATTCGCATTGGCAAAAAATAAATTGGAGCAAAAGAAGGTCTTTCCACCTCCAGAACTACCCAAGGATTTCGTACCGGTACATGCGGTTAGAAAGACTCGATTTTACCCGCCGATTGAGAACGTTCCTCGTGCAATAGAGAATGGAAAACGTAAGGATCTCACGGCTGCGGATAGAGCCAGAATATTAGAGGACACACCCAGTGTGAAAAAACTATCGGAAATGTATCCAAATTCCGTGCCATCGGTTGCCTCCAATATCATCTCAAAAACGTTAAATTTACACGGAAAGCAACAAATGGAAGAAAGACAGAGGGAGGAGAGTCAACGAGCCAAAGCAGCTCCATCGTGGTTCGATAAATTAAATGCACAAAGTTTCGTCAAAGGAGGCGTCGTTGGGTTTATCAAAGATTCTGAGAGAAGCTTGAAAAAATTAGAAGAATTCAAGGATTCTTCGACTTCTGATGAACGTCAAACGAGTATAGATAGCAATAAGTTAGACGAAGACAATTCCACGAAGAAAAACAACGTGAAACCATTTTTATCTGATCCTGATAAACAGAGACGATTCGAGCAATATTTAATTTTTGCAAAGAATGGAGAGAAAGAAAAGCTTGAAACTATACAGCCATTGTCGATGACAGAATGGGACAGAGACCACGAACGCATTGAATTTGAGCAAGCAGCTAGGTTATTTGAGCAACCAACGAATGATTATGTTGCGATCCAATTCACACATAGTTCTGATCCCATGTGCTCGGATATTCCTGCGAAGTCCAGTCAAGAGAATGAAATGCAACAAGCTGTAAAGATGAAAATGTTCGGGAAATTAACTCGAGAACGTATGGAATGGAAACCAGCAAGTATAGTTTGTAAAAGATTTAATATTCCTGAACCGAAAACTGGTTGTGTTCAACCTGAAATGCAGAAAAAATTGACAAAGTTCTCAATCTTTGATTCTATCGATTGGAGCAATTCTACAAGATTCTTAAAAGCAACTGACACGGTATCGAATGAAACAAGCGTAGCTATTGCACCGCAAAAAGAAGAAAGTGGTATTGATAGTACGAATTTGGACACGATGACGAATAATGATATGTCTTTCAACAGTCATCAAGGTTTGGAATCTGTTTCAGAAAAAATGAGAAATTTTGGAGTTTCCTATGAAAAGGTTTTTGGCAAAGAAGTCCAAGAAACATCTTCCGATGTTTTTGACGATGAACAAAATTTAGAGAGTAAATCTGATTCAAATACAGTGTCAAAGGTTGTGGACAAACAAGAGGAAAATCAAGAAGATACCAAGGGTACAATGAAGATAGTGTCAAAGAGTAAATCAGAAGAGAAGAAAGATCTTTTTAAAGCAATTTTCTTGAGCAGCAGTGAAGAATCTGATTCAGAGCCAGAAGAAAGTGTAGACAGTGAAGCAGTAAAGTCTGTTTTGATTGGTAAAGTTCCAGGAGAAATAAATGTGAACAGAAATACCTCTCCACCAAGAGGAATTTTTGCCAAGGTAGATCTGGATAGCTTGGTTACTAGTACAAGGAGCAATACACAGACAAATGAAAAGACAGATAATGAAAAGGATGTAAACTTAGTAAAGCTTCAAGTAGAAACTGAACCAAAACAAAGTGACAATAATCCCAATTCTCCAGAGATTCAGTTGTTGCCTGATATGTATGGACCTGTTCTTCCTTCAAGGTTATTGAAGAGTGACACTATTACAGAAGAACCATCCAGTTCACAAACCTTGAAGCCTGTATTTAGAAGTGTTGTTGTACCAAAACCCAAAGTGGACTCCAAAACTGCTGGGGTGTGGGTAGAACGGGGAAAGGTGAAGAAATCAAAAAAGGAGAAGAAAAAGCACAAACATAAGGAACACAAAAGTTCAAAACATAAGCGGAAATCGAAGAAAGAGAAACGTGATTCGTGATGCAAGGAAATGAAACTGTAATAAAGGCATTAAACAAAGAAGATGTTCATAAAGGAAGTATATTGTGCTCGATTATTTATTGTAAGTTCCTCTTTATTTGCTAGTACGGTGCGTTGTATACATTTAATGAAGTTTTCGAAAATGCTCGTGTGAATTTGTAATTAAGACATCAGTAAAGGGACGTCCGATATGTACAGGAATATGAATCTTTTTGTATATGCTCTAATACACGTAATTGAGCAATCCCCTTTTCTTCGATTGTAGCATTCTTTGTTGTAATAGTACACTTAAATGATACTGCAACATGGGTAATGCTACTCTAGAACTTGTAATTCATTCATTTTTCCGATGTTGTGGAATTTCTCGATGCAGGTCTACTATGATTCTTCTCTACGCTGGAAATATAGAAGGAGAATTATTTTTCTGTTCATATCGTGAATTAACGACAATCGACATTCATCATAATTTATTATGCTACTAATTTTTTTTTGTACAATTTTCTCAATTGTTACGACTGATCATTTGAAAATATACGCTTTTTTATTTTAGTTCTAAATTAAAACATACCTGTTACTTCTCGAACTTCTCTTGAACATATCTGTTAACTTTTTCTTCAAATTTTTCTTTTCAACCCTCTCATTAATGCTCGTCTCGGATCCTGATGTCTGTAACCAAAGAAATCAATGTTAGATCCATTTCATTAATTGATTAGTTTCAATAAGCACTTTTACTATTTATATACCTGAAAAGAATGGTCCATGGAAACATTTGGATCATCTACACTAGCCGATTTAGTTAATTTGGTCGCGAGCTTCTTAATTATACCTTTACCATGTTTCTTTTCACGGTCCAACATCTCACTTTTTGTAGAACCAGTAGAGAGACGACTAAACATCATAAAAAATGTTATTAACTTCTTCGCTTTCACAAAACTATTGCTTTTAAGAGTAATAGTTATCTCAAAATTACCTATCCATGCTGGAATCTCTCTGCAAGTTGAGCGTTCGTCCCTCAGCATCCGAACTTTCCAGTGACTGCATACTGGACATGTTGCTGTCGGTGCCCCAAATGCGTGACTGTAAAATTAAATAAATGAGTAATAATATTTTTTCAATATCTACCACCAGAAGTTTTATCTTTTTTAACGTACTTCTTCGTTTCGTACCGATGTCTGCTCCAAAGACAGACTCTTTCTTTTTAAACGTGGTTTTGAGCGGGATACTGTCATACCTTTTCCTGGATCGCTCTCCACAGACGTTGATCTTTAAAATTGAATTATTTAGTATCAGGGTTTATAGTGAACTAAAACAAATGTTTACTGCTAATAATAAGTACCTCTTGCCAAGTTTCTTCAGTCGTGTTGCATTCATTTCGTCTGCTACCTTCTTCGAGTCTTTTAACTCTCTCGCTACGTCCATTAATTTTTTAACAGTATATTCTAGCTTCTCTGTTCTCTCACCGAGTTGTGTGTTTGAACCTATATATGCATTTAATATTGCAATTTGATTTAAGTTAAAAAATATTTAATAATATTGATCGTACCTCTTATATCACCCTTTGCATCCAACATTGGTGACGATTCCCTTGATTTTGGTCCCTATAAAATATGAAAATAATTAATTTTATTAATTTGCATGGTGAATTAATGTATATACACACTTATTTGTGGAACTTCATATACCTTTAATCGCCTCGGTGGAGTCGGTGTATAAGTGTTCGATGTTCCGTTTTCCGTGATGCCGTTTAATTCGGGGAAAAGTCTTGTTAAATCATTAACTTGTTGCATTAAAACATTAATATTTCGCAATTCAATTTGCTCTTGTTTGCATTTTTTCAAGATTACATCCTTGAGTTCTTCTCTCTCTTTCTCGTGTCGTTCTTTCTCACGTCTCATTTTTTCATTGCTAGTCCTCAATTTTGCGTGGGCATCTCGCAGTTCGAGCAAATCACATTGCAGCTTTAAGAACAAATATTTTTAAACAACTTGTAATATGAAAATTACAGATTATTAATTGACTCCTTTGTTTACCTCCAGCAATTTCTTTTTGCTTTCTTCTTTTTCTTCATCGTACACTTTCTTTAGCTGGTCTTGCCGCCTCTTATTTTCCAGACGTTCTTTAGAACGTTCCCTTTCAATCTGTAGAACAGGTTACTTGTTTAAGTTGCTTCAGCTAATAATGTTTTTAATCCAACTAGAATGTACCTCGAATAGGGTTTGTCGCAAATCCCTCGCAAGTGTAGCTGTTTCTTGCAATAGCCTTTGATGCTCCTCCCTTTCTTTTTGCCATGCTAATTCCATACGAACTTTCAAGCCTGGAATCTTTGTTCTACCACTAGTAAGCACTCGCTCTTCTTCAAGCTATAAACGTATGCAAAATAAAACGAAATGACGAGAACACGGTATGTTAAAAATTAATAGGATATAATTCTTTTAGTACCTCATTAATTCGCGATTGTAATTCAGATACTTTCACGTGACTTGCTGATTTTTCAGACACCAACTCGGCTTTCAATCTAGACGCCTCTAATCTTACTTCAGAAAGTTCATCCTCCAGGCTATTAATCTGTCTTTCTAAAACTAATACACTCGTAGTAGAAACCTCTTCATCCTTAAATAAGAATTAAAAATAAAAATAAAAATATACAAGTATTTTTTTTTAAATAAAAATAACCAACCTCGTCAGACTTTACAGAAGGCGCGTTTGATTGTTTTCCTCTAGCAGACTTTAATTCTGCAATATTTTTTTGAGCACCTTCCAGCATGTGCTTATACGTGTCACGCTCACGTTTGTATCTAGACAGTTGGTTTTGAATAGCTTGGATCTCGTCATTAATAGCACTGATCCTATGCTCATAACGCATTTTACACTGAGCCAAATCTGCCTTCTTCGACTTTTCCATATTCTCCAGGGCATTCTTTAACTTTCGTATTTCTGATTCATAAGCTGTGATGTCAGGCGCTAAACTTTGATGTATCTTTGATACTGCTTCGTAATCTTTTAACTTGTCAGAGAGATCGTCATTCTATGGAGTATATATTTTAAAATAAAATTAATTTGATAGTTATATAATAGGACATTTGTGATCCAATCTGCTTACCGCTTTTCGTATGTCTTCCAATCGTGATACCAAGGTATCTTTCTCTCTCTTCAAATTGCTTATATCGTTATTCAAATCTGATACTAAAGCTTTGTTTGGTAACTCACTTTCGCGTATTCGGTTCTAAAAAATTATCATATACATATTTTGAAATACTTGATGTAATGTTGTACATTAAATCATACTCACTTCCAGAGCTGCTTTCTCTGACCGCCATTCGCTCTCTTTCAATTTCGTGGTCTGTCTCAGTGACTCCAACTCTTTACGAATACCTATTAACTCAGTATTTTGTTCTCGCAATTTACTACGAGAAATATAACAGAACAATATTGATACTATTTTATGTTAAAATTAAGTGCGTAGTATTATCAATTACCTATTAAGTTCGTCCTTATCCGATTCGAATTCTTTCTTCAAATTCACCAGTTCGTTGTACCTTTCATTTAGATTGTCGAACTCTTGATGACCCTTTTTCAACTCGTTCTCCAAATCTGCAACATAAGACACTGTTATCTTGTATAGATACCTCTGATACATTTGTCGTCGCCATAGTGAAGCAACTTACTCAAAATCTTCTCATTATACGTCTGTCTCAACTCATTCATCCTTTTCGTATTCGCTCCTGCTTTCTCCAACGAATTGATTTTCTTTTTCAATCCAGACACCTCAGTTTCTTTCGATTGCTTCTCCTGATCGATTTGAGACAGCAGTTTTTCCTTTTCTTTTTTCAATTCTGAAATCTGCGTAGTCAGGTCATTTATTTTTGTCGTGTTGGAGGATTTTATGCCCTCTAGTTCCTTCTTTAATCGTTTCACTTCAGCATCTAATTGAGTCTTCATTTGCTCAACCTGTATTAAATAAAAATAAAGTTATTTCAACATTTTATTAATGATATTTTAATTTTTTAATAGAAAAATAATTACTGATGTCATTGATTGTGTCATTTTCGATTCTCGTTCGGTATACGCTGATAAATCATCTTGCAGCTTCTTGCTCTTTTCTTTTTCCTGTGATAATTCTTTCTTTAGTTCATTTATTGTTTTCTCCATCTTTGCACCTTCCTTTTCTGACGACTTGGCGGTTTCTATATTCCAGAAAGAAAGAAAAATGAATTTTACGCATATAAAACTTCATTATTTTATGTACCAAGTCTTTTTACCTAAATCCTTCTTTAATTGAACTACTTCATTGTATACTTTAAGTTTTTCCGCGGATAAAGAAAGAAGTTTCGACTTCAGTTTCTCCTTTTCTTCGAACAGTGCCGTTTTTTCTTGGTCCCATGCCTTTCTTTCATTTTCTCTTAGATTCACGGCTTCCTCCAATTTTTTCTTCACTGAAATGTTGTATGAAAGATAAGTGTATGATGTACGATTTAAATAGAAGATTAAATTGCTAAAAATTCACATACTGCTTTGCAAATCTGTATTTTTATTGTCTATTTTGGTACCCGGTTGTGCTTTCTTTTTCTCTTTCTCATCTGATAATTCTTTCGTAATTTTGTCGAGTTTCTCTTTAAGTAATTCGTACTCCTTCATAAGTTTCTCATATTTCACGTTATTGTCTTTGGATTTCACATCTTGAACATTCTCGGCATTGCCGTCCGAAATACTTGTGAAAACAGTCATCATATCACCTAAAAAAACAATCACATAACTAAATTTCACATAGCTAAATTTCAAGAATATTAAAAAAATTTTCAAAATACTAAAAATAAAAAACAACTAAAGATTAATCTTAATTTTTTCACATAATTTTACAAACCTATTTCTTTCTCCATTTCATCTACCATTTTTTTCAGTTGTACTTTGGTTGTAAATTCGGTTGTCTTCTTCGGGGACCTGCTCTGGAATTCAGCTTTAATCTTTTGCAACGTGTCCTCGACTTTTTTAATCTAAAATAAACGTTTTAATTACTGATCTGTTAAATATAAATTTCACCAAAAAAATTCACCTCGTCATATTTCTTCTCTAGAGTGCTCTTTTCAGTCTCCAGCTCCTCCGCCTTACGTTCGACCTTTCTCAGTTTGAACGACAAGATTCTACAGTTCTTATTCGACTGTTCCAAACTTTTTCGCAGACGAACATACTCGTCCGCTTGCTCATCCCTTAACAACGTGAAACGTTCTTAAAATTTTAATCAAAACAGTTATCTGAATAGCAATGAAAGGTACAGCATGTCGAAATGGGATAAAATTAAATTATTAAATTATAAATAACAAAGGAAAATTAATTACAAGTGTGACTGAAATTAAACAATTTTTTTCAATCGCTGCAATTACTTCAGTTAATTTGTCACGTACACAAATTCAATCAAACGAAAGCCAAAACGTCATTCAGGAGTAGCGAAAGCAAGAGGAAACGCACGTGTAAAAAGTGCATACAAAGAACGAAAAGGTTCGACGACAGTATAATGTTCCACATACTGCTCTCTTTTCTAATCATTCTACTTCTATTTTTCTGTTTTCAAAATTCGACAATTTGCTTGTTTATTCGCTCAGATATTTTCTTCAGTTGCAAAAAAAGGTAAAAATGTAATGATCGACAATGTCAATACTGATTTTACCAAGCAACGAAATATCTATGCTCGATCCAGCATTGGTGAAAAGCAGTGCTGCACTCGTGTTGGAATCACACGCGTCTTCTGTCCAAATCGTCGTCCTGCAACAATTCAGATAGCTCATTTTGCTAAACATTTTTTGGGCTGTATGTCCTTTATTCGTGGACACTATATGGCGGAAGTGACAATTTTGCTTTTGCGAAAGCATTCCTTCTGAGTGTGATTGATGAAAAAAATTCGATTTATTTTTCTGAGCATTTCATTTATATTGTATATGTTCTTTTTTGTTTTATCGTTGTTTTAACTGCAGTAAATGGAAATCCACTGTTCTCGAGCCCCTTCAATATATTTTATATTTTGTGTTCATTAGCGCCATCGTCGGTAATTGTGATAAGTTCTATAATACCGGCACACACGATGTCTTGCGTTTACCCGCGATATTTTTGTTACCGACCAGTTCAAACCAGGCACTTTGCCTGTTTAAAACGACCACGTGTTCGTTCCCCGTTGTATTCTTGTCAATTATATTTGCGAGGATTGGCGCTAATAAACTTGTATCGTAATCGCGATGAATGTTTTCTTCATTTTATCTCCTTGAGAATCTGGAGAGTCTAATCTCTTCCCAAACAGTGTTTGTTCTAAGTTTATCGATATCGTTGATTTGCAGGAAATATTTGTGATCAGATCAGTTGCATGTATTAATACAAACAAACATATATGTTATTGAAAAAAAATCAAAAGAGAGCGAGTCGTAATTCGCTATTATGGAAATCATATTTCTGAATGATTGGTTAATTGATTCGAATTCAAACAAATCTGTTAGTAAAATGCATTGAATTCTTTGCTTTTATTTGCAGTACTAGACATGAAATTGCAGGGTACCAAATCGAATTTTTTTACTTTAAAATCTTTCACACAGCAGCTTCAGGTATTTTATTTCAAGGGCAACAGGTATAATGAAAACTATTGAAGTATAAATAATGATTTTATTTTTTTTACGATATATAGGTTTAAAATATTATAAATCAAAAAGGGAAAAGCCAAAATAAACATGCACAAGTGAAAAGAAAATTTAGATCTCTGCGGGAAAATGTACAAGTGGGGAGAAGCGTGAGATTACCTGAATGTGTCCTGTAATTCATATATCTCCTCCTCCAGTTGCCGAATTTCTTTCTTCATATCCTCGTTTTCGTCCATCAAGGTTTCGCATAAATTCTCTGCCGCTTTTAATTTCGATCGTAATTCATCCTTTTCTCTATCTCGTTCTCCTCTAAAGGATTTCGAATTCACTTCCTTCTCGAGTTCCCTTACTTTGGTCATCAAACTTGTCTTCTCTTGCATGAGTGCTAGACAATCATTGGTATCACTCAATGTCACTTCCTTTTTTATTATTTTCGTTAATACCTTCATTCTTCTTCTGTAATTTCTGTAGATCATTCGGCGCTGCTTTACTCGATATAGTTTCCATAGTGGCCAGTCGCCTCATTAAGATCTCGCTCTTCTCTTTTTCTGCTCGCTGGCATCGTGCTTGCAATTCGTGTATTTGTGCTTTTAATTGATCCACTTCGCTCTAGTGTGAACAAATTTTATCGTTATTTCTTCTATTTTTATCTAAACACATAATTCTTTAATTGTCTAGTGCACTAAGATTATTATTGCTACAAGCGCACTACATCTGAAATGATTAGTGAGATTCACAAAGAAACGAATGATTGAAGAAGAACGATGTTAGAAATGAAATGAAGAATGCTGGTATGGTTACTTTTTCCGTCCTTTCTTCATTTTCCATTCGATGTTCCCCGTTCTTTTCGATGATTTTCGAAGAACCAGTCTTCGACTTCTTCACCTGAATAGAAAAAGCAATGTACAACAGAGAAACTTGATTTTCCCCTTATACGACTACATACTTCTTTATCGCGTACACTTTCGTTGAGAAATGCTAAAATGTAAACACAAGAATCAGATCAACGACAGGTATCGTAAGAGCTGAAAATGATATATACAAGGGAAGCTGTGTCATGGTCACCTGTATTTTACTCTTTGCTCAGCTCAACGAGCACAATTAGTAGGACGAAGTTCAAACGTGCTTGGACTTGATAATTCAAGTGATCAAAATTTATACAAGTAACGAAATTATCCGAGAAATTTCAGTTTGAATTGAATAACAGTCATTTTATAAAATTCGTTCGAATTTATTGTTTTAATTCGAGCTATTCGAATGTATTAATTTATGGCTAATAATATATTTGAAATGTTTGAATATTCAACTCAAACCAAATACAACTCGAACTTAAGAGTAAGAGATCTCTGTCATAATTCGGAGTCATAGACATATAACATTGCGACAAGCAACAAGTCAACAGAAAGTATCACGTCGACTTAGATTTTACCTGAATTATGAACTCGACATCATTTTCCGAGGCGCTTTCATTGCTATTGTCTATGACTTCCTTGATCTGTAACTTCGTTGGCCTCCTGGCTGTGGGAACGTCATAGATTGAATCATAAAGAAGAAAGGCATTCATTGGGACATTACTTAACTATTACGAACACATTTCATTCCACCTAAATACCTTCTCGTCTATCTTCTTCTTTATCGATGGCCGAAAGATCCATGAGCGAGGTCCAACCGGCAGACGCATACGATGATTCCGTACCTCCTTTGAAATCATCTTTTGCCAAATTTGTCGCTGACGACCAAACGCGTTTACCATTTTCAGCGGATCTAACGATTACGATTGCAGTAATAAGTATTGTTCCGATCTTCGATTAAATCTTAAAAATCTTCGATATGAAAGTAATACAAAGAATGTTCGATCACTCACCGGTTCGGCTGATCGAACGAAAGACTAGGTGTCGACGATGTAATGTCCCTCAGACTATCTTTCTTGCCTCCGTGTTCCTTGTAATCCCTAACATATATAATCCCATATAAAAATCAACTCTAATTACGTAATATTCTACTAATCTATCGTAAAATACAAGCAGCGATCATTGCTATATTACGAATCTTGTTATGTTCAATTAAAGAAAACATGAGAAGAATACCTAAAGCATCTTTTGCAGCGGGTCGGCCACCGCACTTGGGGATGGAAACCAAGAGGGCAGAGGGGATCTCCTTTCTTCGATGAATACATGTGGTGCATTCTGCATGTAAAGACGAGAACAAATCGTTACAAGCATACTCATTGCAACTTATCTTTTTAACGTATACACATAAGTATCCAATTACAAAACATAGAAATGCTGTCGGATGTTTTCACGCTTCGAGTCGCGTGCGTGCAACACATGGGTCGGTTAAATCGACAGTTGGGAGGCGGTGTCAGTTTACAATGCTACGAGACAGTGGGCTCATAGAGATGGTGGCACGACGAAACAATAACATTTATGCATGTCTAGTGGAAGGATCACGGCTAGTTCGTTATTTACACAGAGCATGATCGATGATTCGTTTAGAATCGCGATGGTTTTCTGATGCCGCACGAACAAACGAATGTGCCATTAGTCTCGAATTGTTACGGTTTGTATGAGGTATTAAATACAAGGTAGCAGAACAAATACATATAATTTGTTGTTCGTTCATTTGGTCGTGGTTAATTGAAATGAAACAACAAATAGGAACAACGTTGACGATGCACCACGGGTATCTTGATAAATTCCGTACCACCATAAACACGTTATGTGGGAAATGTACGAGACTGGAAATCAAAAATCTCGACGATTTCCGGCAGAGCATATCTCGCAAGAGCGTCACATAGGAGCACTGGATATATCGATTGGCCTGGCTCGATTCTAACGGCTAAAGGACTTGCCCGATAGCTCGCGGAATGATCGATTACAATCGGGATGGGATTATACCTAGAAATGAAACCTTGAATTAATACGAGAATACGTGTTTCGCAAGCTGTGAGTTGAGACTTCAGAGACGAGGCTTGGCTTTCGATGGATCGCGAAATACTTGGCAAGGCATAAATGAAATTCAGCTTGAAACTCCGTTTTATAGACCAGATAGTTATAACGTGTGTTCGAGAAACCTTGATGGAATATACGGACCTGTGTCTCGACGCGATTCCAAAGATTCTTTAACTCGTAGAGGATGACGCAGTTTTTATTGGCTGCTGGCGGTGAATTTGTTGGAAAAATGTAAATAAATCATTTTTTATTTTTAAACAATGTAGAATATATATTATACCTCGTTTTACATTGAAATTGCGACTTCTGCTTTTTCCGATTAACAATATTTCGATCGATTCGATGTAACTTAAAATTTAATATCGATTCTTTCGATTTCGATCAATTTTTAAGATTTAATATCAAATTTTATAGTATCGATACTTAGAAATTTTCACTTGAAAAACGTGATATTAATCCGTTTAGTTTACACTTAAATTACGACCGATTGAAAGAAGATTATTGCTATATTTGTTAAACATCTAATAGATCTTTCATTACGAATGCGATAAATCAATTTTCGCGCTGGAATCTTTCAGCCCACGCAAAGTTTATCTCAATCTCCTTTCGAAAATACACACACACTTTAACGGTTTGCCTTTTCACATCGAAACTCGTACTTGCATTTTATATACATAAAACGATTCTTAAACGACATTCCGTTCACGGAATCGTCTAAGTATTCTCAAACGGTAAAACTGCTTATCTTTACAATTGATCGTGTGTGGAATCGATTTCGGACTTCTTTTGATCTTACGCAATTGCATGTCGATCAACGTGTACTTACTTGATCGATGTTCACGCGAATGCAGTAGGCGGGTAACAATTAAATTTGTCTTGAACGTCGTTAAGAATGCCTGCACGCGACGATCGCAAACACACCATTCATTACGAGAATGTAAGACCAGAAAACCGCCGATCTCATGTTAGACGAACGTAATAAACGAGCGTGGACTAATCAAACTCAATGATCGATCACCGCGTGTTAGAGAAGTACACTTGTTTGAAATGTTCCTCTACCGATAAATCGTAGGATCCGCGGACCGTTTACATCTTTCAAAGTTTTTCACGCGCACTTCGGTTTTCTCTTCTTCTTCTGTCTCTCTTTTTTTTTTCTCTCTCGTTATTCGCGACGATCGCAACGTCGATAGACGTCACTAATAGCACTGACACGCTGCTGCTATTACGGGGGTTAGACCATTACTCGACTCGGGCCCGTACGTGTGGTAATTTGGACTATTGCCAAGATGTATATTTATCTCTAGCTATAAATATAGTGCGCCTTCTTACGAGTATTTTGCGTACACGTACGTATGCGTGCGGGACCGAGGGTATCCTAGAAAATCTGTCCAACGGTAGATAGACTAGGGGCAGGAACCGGCGGTACAGTTCGATAAATTATCGTCTCGAGTTTGGTTTCCGCCCGACTGTACTCTATACTTTCCCTTTGCCACAGTGTAATTTTATTGCTAATAATTTGGTAGATGACAGTCGACGTCATTGAATACACATATGTATGTCTAATGGTATATTGCTCATAATATATTCCAGGTTCGTGTACATTTTTTGCTGTCAGGTGTTAATTGGTTTTAATTACATTGTAATTTATGTTTATGATTATTATTGTAAAAAAAGATTCGTTTATAAGGTAAAGGTTGACGTTAAATTATTTGTAAGACTTAGTATTCGGTAACGTCAGATTATGCCGGACAAGTGTGGCGACCTTGATTATTTTATGACTGCGGAGTTATCAGGATATTGTATCTTCAATATTCCAAGAAAACACTCGTCACGGTCCACATACCTATGTTAAGTAGTATAATATTCATACTAAATTATTATTTCGGTATTATTTTACTTTAACAATAGTAATTACTCTGCCAAATTTGTTCAATTTGTAAATCTTTGTTTTTAATTCATAGAATGAAAATCATAGACTCAAAAAAATATTTTAATGATATTAAATTATAAATATTAAAATATGATATTAAAAATATGCTTGCATATCGTAATTAAAGATAACCTGTGTCCATGCAAGTTAAACTGTTGTAATCTGAATTGATTATAATTTTTTCAGACGCGACAAATGTTTTTACGGAACCTAGGGATCAGAAATATTGTTAAATAAAAACATATTTCAATTTTTTTATTTCATATATTTTATTGATAAAAAGCAATCTGCTGATAAGTATAAAAACCTACACCTTTTGTATAAAAATGTCGTGTAATATTTTTCGTTATACCCTGTTTCTAACTATTGCGCTTTTAACCATCCAACAATGTCTCACATTGTAGAAATCAATTTTTAAAATAATTGCAAAAGAGATATTTTATAAATGCGCAAATCGTAAAATGCATTTTGCAAAACGACTTATTTCAACATTAAAAAGATAAAGGTGTTATTTTTACATTTTTAGATAGTATATATTCTTATTTTTTATGTAAAAATAATAAAAAATGTAAAACAAAATAATGCATGCACAATAATGGGCATGCATTATCTTGGAATGGAATTTTTAAACGAAGGAATAGAAATTTACATAAGACGCATAATAATTAACATTGTTTCTATAGACATATAATAATTAACAAAAAATACAATTTACTTAAAATCTAGAGTTTGTTTTGAGAATTGACTAACAGATCAATCTCAGCTCCGAATCAGACTGATTTATAATTTATTTAAAAATTTAATTGATAGAGAATGCAGATACTTAGTATCAAATACAACAATTGTATCGTTCATATCTCGTGATTTTTGATCGAGATAACGTTTATAAAAATAGAATTTTCAGATGAAATAACAACTATCAATATATCTCGTATAAAGATTCAAAAAATTTCTACTTCCTTATTTATTACACAATAACGCTTTTATCCTTTAAATAATTCAATTTGCAACGTGTACGCATGACGATGATTGAAAAAGATATAATTACACTTTTAATTCCAGTTTTAGGTAGATTGAAATGAGTGTGCAGATTTAGATGGAATTCCAATGTGGACTATGATAATGTTTTAACTGCATTATTATATAACATACAATTCTTTCAAATGTTCGATATCCAATCGAAGTTTCCCCCTTGAACTAAAGATTTTTTAGATATTCAAGATTTAAAGCTTAGCACGAAGAAGTTCGATCTTCTTGCCAGCACGCTTTTGCAAATCTATCAGTTTCATCGCACTTCCCATGTTACCTTGGATCTTAATTTTCCCTTGGAAAAATGCCTTCTGTGGGTTCAATTTTCCGGAGATGAAATCAACGATATCCGCATCGTTAATCGTAATAATAACATCAGGTTTCATTTTCCCGTAATACTCCACTTTTCCTTTCCCCGTTTTAGCATTCACAACCCAATAGCCTTCTGCACCACCTGGCCCATTAGTTACTTTGAATCCGTATATTCCACGAACTTTCTCGATCAGATTGTCTTCGTCCTCTTTCATCGCTATTTCCAACAGTTTAAACAACGCGTTTGCCTTGAACAAATCCGGGTTAGTGGTTCCACTCACGTTCCTCTTAACTATATTCGATGATTGTTGCGGGAAACCCAAACGGTATAGAGCAACCACAACTGCTCCACCCAAGCCTATGTTATGTTGCAACGCTAGTTTTGCGTTCGATACTTGTCTTTTACCGGCCAATCCTCGAAGTTGCCAGCATAATTCTGCGCATTGCGCTAATCCTGTTGCTCCCAAAGGATGTCCCTTTGAGATTAAACCACCACTGGGATTTATCACATATTTTCCTCCATATGTATTGTCTCCTGCATCAACTAACTTTCCACCTTGGCCAGGTGGGCACAGACCCAATGCTTCATAAGTAATAAGTTCATTAGTTGAGAAGCAATCATGTAATTCTACAACATCCACATCCTTTGGCTTGTAAGGGGTCTGAGCATACACCCTTTCAGCAGCATTCTTTGTCATGTCATAACTATATGGTGAAAAAATATTGATGTTCTTTATATTTGTTTTATTAGAATTTAGATTATTAAAGAAATTAATTTTCCTTACCCAATAAGTTTAATAAAACTCTTCTCTGAGAATGTTGAAGGTGAGTCTGTAGTCATTTCCATTGCTACAATTTCTACAGCTTGAGATTCAAGTTTATGTTTACGAACAAAGTCTTCATTAGCTAAAATCACAGCAGCTGAACCATCTGATGTTGGACAACACTGAAGCTTGGTAAGTGGTCCAAATACTGTAGGAGATTTCATTATCTGCTCCAAAGTGTATTTCTCTTGGAATTGAGAATATGGATTATTTATAGAATGTAAGTGATTCTTATAAGCAATCTTAGCAAAGTGTTCAGGCTTTGTGCCATACTTCTTCATGTGTTCAAGACCAGCATTTCCAAACATTTGAGCAGTCATTGGACTTTCATTCATGCCTAAAATTAAAAGCAAAGAGAAATATTGAGAATATACATTTTTCAAGGAGTGTTCAATGGTAATTTGATAAATTTACCAGCAATATCACACATAAGTTCTACATGTTTGTCCATTGGATGAGTACGGTCTAAGAATTTAGATGTTAAAGAACCTCTTTCCATTTTCTCAAAACCAAGAGCCAATGTACAATCAGCAGCACCAGTTTGAATAATTTGTTTAGCCATTATTAAAGCAGTTGAGCCAGTTGAACAATTGTTATTTACATTATATACTGGGCAACCAGTAAGGCCAACTTGATATAATGCCCTTTGACCACAGGTGGAGTCTCCATAAACATATCCAACACAAGCAGCTTTTACACAGTCATAGGAAATTCGTGCATCTTTTAGCGCTTTTGTCACTGCTTCCTTCGCCATATCTGGATAATCAAAATCATCCCGCGTGCCTGGTTTTTCGAATTTTGTCATGCCGACACCAACGACGTACACTTTCACTATCGACATCTTGAAGTTTTTTCAAAAATGAAACGCAAAAAACCAAGAATTTTAACGATTGATAATAAATGCAGTTAATATTCGCGTTGTTCCTTGGTAACAACTGTCTAGGATGAAGTGACACAACTCATTAATAAGTACCACAAACAAAATTGAACTTTGTCCTTTCATATAAATATCTAATCATAAAAAAAAGGCAAACAGAATCACTGAATGACGAAGCTACTTTACAAGTAGAATCCACTACGCTCAGCTGCTGAGCGTGAATGCCAGCAAGGAGAGTGGATACTCTACGGGGAAACTGTTAGATCGGTGTTCACGAATGTTCCGCTGTAGATGTCGCTTTTTAAGTGTCATCAAATTCGGTTTCTTTCGTAAACATACAATTGCTGAATAAAGTTTGTAAACATATTAGATTGCATTCACCTAATTAGTAATTATACAGTGAATCTGATAACATTGAGTTAACTTGCGTTCAATCGATTTGAGTTCAATGAAGAATGGAAAAGTCTATAAACATGCATATTTATTTACATGTCGATCGTAAACAAATAATCCATTCTGTATCTGTTGTTATGAAATGTCTGTGATAAAAAATAGTTTTAGTGTTCTTCGCTGTTATATTTAGTTGTCAACAGTTCAAGTTTAGGTTTTGTTTAGTTAACAACAAAATCTTAAACAATTTGGAAATTAATACAAAATCAATGAAATGTAACTTTATAAGCAATTATCAATGATTTGTTTATTCTTAATCGTGGAAGAGTTAAAGTAAAAACTGTTACCTGGAAAGTGTCATTTAATAGAATGTTCAATCGAGAAGTTTGAAAGCAGAACGCGGTATATCTTGCCGAATTGTTCTTCCCGAATTTTGACTTGAGCTATATATACTAGAAAATCGCGCCGGCCATTGCGCGCTCGTGTTTTGGTTCCGAAAAGATGGCGGACCCTTGTTTTCAAGATCGGTCACATAGAAATACGATAGTTTTGAAATACGCAGCGAAAGTTGACATGTTGTGTCTACAATAACGTTGAGTGGATGAAATTATTGTTACGACGGATTTGCTTGCAGGATTGAAGAGGTTTCTTTGAGCGTCGTTAGTGACGTGAAAGCGGTGTCTTTAGCGTGCGGATTACACAAACTCTGATTCGAGTGATATTTAGAAATTTTTATTGTTTTCTGTGCGAAATAGCGTTTGACGAACTGGAAAACGGTATTGTGTATCAAAGGATAAAATGGTTTGACCCAAATGAACGTTTACAAGGTTCAATACCCCGACGATTGATATAGTAGCAATACTACTTGGTTAGGTTGATTGGCTAGGTAGATATACCTATGATACCCGAACAAAGTTCCACGTGTTCCTCTCGGTGGTTCACGTTAAAACGTGAAGTTGGATTAAGCTGGTAATCAACACGTTAAATGAATTATTCCAATCCATAATGGCTACAAGTGATTTTGATGTGGAGCTCTTCGAGCGAAGACTTCACACACTGAAGGATTCGCAGGAGTCAATACAAGGCCTTTCAGCATGGTGTTTGGAAAGGCGGCAACATCACAAGAAGATTGTTGCCACTTGGTTGCAGGTTTTAAAGAAGGGTAAGTTTGCATTTCTTCAAACATAAATTAAGCTATAATGTTGTACAGTTCTAAAAGCTTTGCTTTTCTTTGTTTACACTTTAAGATGTCGTTCCTTTGTATTGTCTGTACTAAGAATAGTAGCACAATTTTAAAGATTTTAATTAACAATGATAATTAGAAAACATATTTAATGTGATATTTAATTTTGGATTATAAATAAAATGAAATATAAGTGAAAACCAATTTAATATATTATACAAATGCTATTGCACAAATGTGTACTTGTGATTACTTCAATAAATCTAGTGTCCTTCATTCTTAATATTAGTTCATGTTTTTTTTCTATTATTTTGTAATATGTTGGATAACAATGATGTTTTTTAAATAACAGTAAAAGTTGAGCATCGTTTGACACTCTTTTATCTGGCAAATGATGTTATCCAATATTCCAAAAGAAAAAATTTTGAATTTGTGGAGTCATGGGGCACTACTTTACAACGGGCAACAACTATGGTTAGAGATGAGAAAGTCAAACATCGTATACTGAGGATTTTTAAAATTTGGGATCAAAGACAAGTATATGATGAAGAGTTCCTCGCAGATTTGTCAGGATTAATTTCAGCAGCCCCAAAAAAGAAATTAGAACCCCAGGCATCAGCACCAGCAGAAGAATTTCAAGCTGCACTGCTCATTTCTACTATGAGATCATGTGCTACATTAGAACAAGCAACTGATGCAAGATTAAGAGACTTACGTGATAGTAACATAGATGTAGAAAATGCAGAAGAATTATGTGCATCTTTGAAAGATAGAAGAAGGGTTGAAGATGCAGAGAAAGAAGTAGATCTGGCAGTTAGAAATGTTGAAAATTATGTTCGTGCATTAGAAGCAGAAATCAGGGAAAGAACACAAGTTCTTGAGCTATTGGAACAGGCTGATCAATTTTATGAAACTCAAAGGGGTGAAGTGAAAATAGTTACTAATGTAAGTAAATTATAAAGAAAAATGATACATATTCTTTCTGATAAATGTCAATATTTTCTTATATTCTTAATATTCTTCATAAATAGGCATACAGAAATTTTGGAAGTCGTGTAAAAAATTTAAAGAAAAAATTGGATGAGCTTTTGCCAACACTAGTTTCTCCAATCCCATCACCAGATATAAATGCTCCATCTCCAAGTCCTGACAGTGACATAGAACTTCCAGGAGAAGATACTCAGTCTCAAAATCAGTTAGGAATGATAGATGTAGCACCACCATCTATGTATGGTTCATATTCACATGACTATGACCCAGTACCTGTACCAGCTCCAGAAATGGGTCAGGGCAATGATTCTGGTGACTTCACTAATAATTTTTCATCTTTTATGGGAGGAAATGTGGATTTTGGTAATATGGTAAGACACAGTAGTTAGGAGAGTGTATTATTTTTAATCAATATTATCATGATACATTTATTTTTGCTTTTACAGAGGAATATATTTAATGAAAGATCATCAACACCTACTGGAATGTCACAACAGTATAATGATTCAATAGAGGTATATTCAATATAAAACATATATTTATTATTTAGTGAAACATCATAAAAATGCTACATATATTTTATCAGGCTAAACCAATAGAAGTGATCAATATGAGGCCCTCCAAAAATGAAAGTAGTAGCGCAGATTTTAATATCTCTAGTTTCTTAAAGACTGTTCTTCCCTCATCTGATGGAACACAAGACCCTGGTGGAATTCCCGGTCTTGGTCTAGATATTCCCGAATCGCAAGTGGGGTCTCCACAGCGTTCGAATTATAGACATTCACCTGTATTAGCACAACATCCTGTAACCCCTGTGATCTCAAGAATGATGGGTAATCAGAGCACGCCTATGGGCGTGAATAATTGCCAGATAACTCATAGTACTCCGTTACCTGTTCGAAACCTGTCTGGCGAGTCGCACACTCCTTCCCCGTATTCCAGTCAAAATAGTCAAAGTAATATTACCGTACCTTTCGATGGCCCTACTAATAATAACACCGTTAATCCTTTACCACCTCCACCTTTACCACCCCCAATTTTCCTCGACGATGAAAATTGTTATAACAAGTTACCACCTAAGTTTCCCACGTGGACGCCACCTAACGAAACTATGAAGGAACCTGCCAAATGGGAAGAGAAGGGTATGAATTTATTTTGAAACGCGTATAACATGTAACGATTTAATTTTTTTGGCGTAACAAATTCCTTTCATAGCGGGTATCGCTATGTTCGTAGGGAAGAATAGTATGAATCCGACCTGGCCTGGTGAGTGTGACGAAAAAACGAAAACATGGATGGACGGTGATACTGATAGGTGGGACTCTAATAATGAGACCACGTGGACTAACACTGTTAGGGGGAAAAACGAAATTCTATCTGAAACGCCAGAATCACCACCTATGTACGAGAAAGCTGGATTCACAGATCCGGTAGAATACGATGACTCTCAACCACAAGAATCTCTTTTAAGCACCACCGGGGATGTAGATCATAGGTAAAGAAATTAATTCTCACCACAAAAAATAAATAACCAAATAAATGAAAATATAAAAACATATTTAACAGAACATTATCTTTCAGAGTGATACCTATTCCGATGACGGTGGAAAATCAATTACCATATCGTTTAATGAAAGCAGCGGATGTCGATCATCGTAATTTAATTAGCTTAACAGGAAGCCCGGCAAACCATAATGTCAACGACCCTTCTATGAACCTGATAGCGAACAGTAATAGCCTATGGTCTACAGGCGATCAGGATTACCGGTAAGATACCCTTAAACTCTTTCAATTCCTAGATTCCGTTTAGTACTGTGTTATACCACTAAGTTCTCACCATGGTTACAACTATAAAATCCTTTGTAACACGCAATTAGGCAACATATGCAACCGGGCGATATCGTGGAAAGCGTCGACATGGAGATGTCGGACGACGAGACTGATAGTAAGCCAAAGGGAAGAGTTTTGGTTGACGTGAGATCACAGGACAGAGACATGAGGGTTGGTAATCAATCTGCGACGTCCCAACACATGGACATGGACATGCGAATGATTCCACTGCCCACAGGGCAGATGCCAGGCCCGCATGGACAGATAATGCAGGACGTACACATGATGCATTCAGGGCCCCCTCCGCCTCCACCCCCGCCGCCGCAGTTTCACCCAGGTCAACCTTTTCATCAGGATCAAACAGACTTTCGACACAATCCATCAGCGGAGTTTCACCCAGCTCAGTCGAACTTCCATCAGAACAGGCCACCACCCAACTTCATTCAGAACCAACAGGACTTCGGCCAACAAGAGTTTCATCAAATGCATCAAACTCAACCAGAGTTTCCTCAACAAGAATTTGAGTATCGTGAGAACCACGCTTTGAGACCTAACCAAGATTTTCTCGGTGAACCACAAATGCGTGGCAGGTACTCACAACCAACGGAGCACCAGCACAGGGACATGACGTTCCATAGAAACGAACGGGGGGGTCGCGGCGGGCGTGGGTTTCCCAGAAATCGACGGGACAGATATTCTGACGACCATAAGCAGAGGAACCTTCAGAACAATCGCAAACCTCGGGCGCAAGATCATCAAAGATCACCAGAAATCTTACCTAATAGTAGACCTCTGTTAGTACCAGCACCTGACACCGTGGTGATACTTGACGAAGAGGGTATGCCCATAGGACTCCCCAACGATAAGGACACCCCAGCGAATGCAGAGGCGCCAGATGCGGTGCAAGAGGAGAACTGTCAAGATCGTAGGCTACCACACGCAAACTCACGTGATTTAGATCAGCAATCCGTTTACTCGAGCGGATCGAATCTCGTTCACGAACACGAGCACACTGAACCTACGAACACAGAGTCGGAGGAATCACAGGCGATGAACCAAGTGACAGTTGTACCCGTGATAACGGATCCTAAAGATCCTCAGCACAATCAGTACGTTCCTATGGCTGTGTATGAGGAACAGGTCGAGTCTGAGGTGGTGATCTCAGAGAAGACCTGTGACAGCACCGAATCGATGGAGAATCCTGGTCAGGAGATGAGTTTCACCGAGCAGTCACAGCAGCAACAGGATCAGTTGGACGATCTCGGAGGCTCGACGCCAAGCAACGAGCTGAAGAGATCGTCGGCGAACGGCAGTTTCGACGAGAGCGACGCCAGCCCTAGTAAAAAGAGAATCGCCCTGTCGAATGGTCCCCAAACTCCGACCGAGTCTGACGCTGGTCTGAACGGGCCCCTACCGCAGGTCTCGGCGGAGGCGCATCAAGGGATGTACGATTTCGACGGTCCAGTTGGACCGAATTTCCGACCGCGTCTCGGTGGCCCTGTTCCATTCCCTCCATGGAGAGGCGGCCCACCGCGAGGTAGAGGTTTCAGAGGTGGACCTAGGGCTCCATGGATGGATAGAGGGCCCCGTGGTCCCGTGATCGGTAACTTTATACCGAGGGGTTTGAAACGCGGTGGACAATTCAGGGGTAACGGTTTCAGGGGTCGGGGACGTGGAAACAATTGGTAGGTGGGAATAAATTTTTACCAAGAAAGAGATTTGCACCGCTTTTAATGAAACAAACGATCGTTTTTTGTATTCTGTACATAGGTATTATATTATTACTAAAAGAAAATGGAAACACATATTTCATCGTCACCAACGAGGGGGTGGGTGAACATTTGTCAATGCGTGTATCTCTCGACACAGAGGAAACAGGGGGGGGATTACCGGAAGATTGGTCAGGTGAACAATCTTCTATTGTCGAAGATTCACGCTTCTGTGCAATTGATTCGCCTATATACATATATAAATAAAGAAAACAAAAATACTATATAGATATATAGATTATAGAGGTTAGGTTACATGTACACACGTACACACGCATTCTCTCTCTCTTTCTCTCTGCCTGTCTGCCTGTCTCTCTCTTTTTTTGGGGGAGATTATTCGAATTCATACACGTAACATGTACTACCACATCGTTTGTTAAGAGATCTTATAGATATTTGTATTATTGAAGCGCGGCGTCTGGCGTCTCTGAAATACACTGTTGCCGTTGTCACGGACGCTTCATCCACCGGGATTCAGTGTGGTGTAAACAAATATTGAGGGGTGTGTGGAGAGAGGTTGGGAAGAGGAGTGGGTGGCAATATATAGTGTATCGCCGGTGGTTCTTCGCTTCGATAATCGATCGATATTTAGAGATTTATTGTAAGGCATCAAATGATAAAATACTAAAAAATGTCTTGTTTTAACGAATATGTGTTTTAACGAGAGTACCAAGGAAAACAAGGGAAATAATTGATAATTTATCCAGGTGTTAGGTGGATTGACCTGTGAAAATGATTTCGTCTTTGCCGTGATTCTTGTTTCCTATCGGCTGGAGGTATCGATATCCTCGAACCACGAAGGGTGAAACGTGGTAACAAAAGTAACAAAAATCAAAAAAAGAACGAAGAAAAAAAGAGAAAGAGAGTCGCTGAAAGAATTCGTTTCACGGGTCGCTTCTTCTTTGTTCACTTGCCTCTACAATATTAAACGCTAATGATTGCCTGTCTTTACCCGTCGCCTGTCCACGTTTCTTATCGTTTTTTTTTCTTTTCTTTTTCTTTCGTCGAGGCTCGATTATAAAAAAAACAGGCATGTCAATGAACCTTCAAAGTGTATTAATAAAAATGCAATGTTTATGTTCTGGTCCACTTCGTACATTTCCCCCATTTTTTTCTGGAGTACACACACGTCGTCGTTGTTAGATAACGTCTATAGCTTCGCCTTGTGGCGAGATCTCGATGGAATGGAAAAATAAAAAAAAAAAGAAAATACACGAAAAGAGAAAACACGAAAACGCTTTTGTCGTTGCGCAAAAATTGTGAGATCGAGAGAGAGCAAACAAAAAGCAGGTCGACAGAGCCTGGTACTAACGATTGTTCTATTTTGTTCTTCTTTTGCATTGCGAATGAAAGAAAGACGATTGTATAAAGAAGAAGAAGAAGAAGTAAGATGTTCGTGTTCTGTTGGCGATGATTCGTTTGTTCAATTATAATTCGCTGCTTTTCGTTTCACTTTGTTCCCCTTCTCTCTCTCTCTCTTTCTCTCTCTCTCTCTCTCTCTCTCTCTTTCTCTTTCTCTCTCTCTACTGCACTGCGTCGATTAAAAGAACGTTTTTGAATGTTACGTCAGCGACGAAAAATGAAATTGAAGAAAACATAAGAAGAAGAAAGTGGATAGAGGGTCTTTCTCTCTCTCTCTCTCTTTCTCTTTCTCTCTCTCTACTGCACTGCGTCGATTAAAAGAACGTTTTTGAATGTTACGTCCGCGACGAAAAATGAAATTGAAGAAAACATAAGAAGAAGAAAGTGGATAGAGGGTATTTTTTATGAAGAATTGTAAAACTATGTATATACATATATACTTACATACACGTTCGAACATTGTAATTGTAAAGACACACGAAGCATTTCTTTCCTATTGTTCAAGAACAAATTTTGTGTATCTTGATTATCGATATCGTACTAGGTCGGGGGAATACGGTTGTTGAGTTTTTAATCATTTAACGAAACTTGTAATTCAGGTAGAAAGCAAATGAATCATTGTCGAGGAGTGAAATAAAAAACGAGAAAAAAGAAGAAGAAGGGAGAACAGAAACGTGTAGATATCGATAGTGAAGCGCACAAGGAATTAAGTGTAGCAAGATAAATCCTTGGAAAAACCAATTGATTGTTTAATAAAACATTGCAATCTACCGAGGACCTTGCCAGCACTCGATCGACATACCGTAATCCTGTTTGATTGTGACATTATATTTTTTTCGTAACCCATTTGTTTTAACCCTTTAAAGCATTCTCACGATTCAGAGAAAACGTTTTATCTCTTCTACATACGAGATGAACAATGTGGAAGAAGTAAAGCGTTGTCAGTTTCGTTATTTTCTTTAAATTTCAAACACAGATTTCAAATAGGTATGATCGCGTAGATCCGTAGTCTTTTTTTTTTCCTTTTTTTCTCTATCGAATCGTCCGTTTTCTCTCTCTCTCTCTCTCTCTCTCTCTTGATCGTACCTTTCATTGTTTCATTTGCATTCAAATCGTTCACGTACATACGTACAGACACGTTCGTCCATTTAGATGATTTTCTTTTATTCGCAGACTTTCGTGGTATTTATAGACTCACAGATTACCGGTCTATAAATACTCTGTTTCTTTGGAAACCAGTCCTTTTTTTCTCTCTCTTTTCTTTCTTTCCCTTCTTCGAGAATGAAAGACCAGTAAAATCCTATCGTATTTCTTTCCCCGCATTCACGAAGATTCTCTCGTTTCAAATACGTGGAAACTTCTATGGATCTATCTCGATCTGCCTTACTTCCGGTCGGAGAAAATTGATTCTCGTCTCTTCTCTGATTCTGTGAACACGATTAACGAAGCCCTAACAAAGTAACTTCATCCTTTCTTCTCCACACAAATCTTTATGTATTCCGTTGAAATTGGTTGTTGCTTAAAATTTTGTACGAAAGAAATTCAAAAATTTTATTCCCTGTTGAAGAAACGATTATCGTATCGTAAATTGAAATGAAAAATTGATGTGATAAAAATAATAAAAAAAGAAAAAGAAGGGTTCGATGGTCAAATTCGTCTCGACATTCGGTCTCGTTCCATTCTCTTCCTCTTTCGAATGCTTTAAAGGGCAAACCTGCTGGATTTCAAAGAATGCGGAGCGTGTATCGATTTGTATATAGCTACATATGCGTGATAGGCACGCGAATGCACATGTAACGCCGAGCACCGTGCACGAAGTCGAGAACGAAACGTGTATAAATACATATTGTACAGTTTTCAGCGTTATCATTACCTTTTTCTTTCGCGCACGACAGTGGCAGAAGTGGGGGGCGGTAAGGCGAGGGGAGGGAGGTCTCTCCCGCCCACGACCTCTATTCACCGTTTCTCTCTTTCTCTCTCTCCCTCTCTCTCTCTCTCTCTCTCTCTTTCTTATTGAAAATTCGCTTGTTGTAACGGAATCACCGGTGGAAGAAGATGAATAAAATCTAATCGCGTGTAAATATGTCTCTGCTTGAAGTTAGAGCAAAGTGGACTGCGCTTGGCCACGAATAGTCGTATATTATAATTTTGCACCCCTTGTAGTTAGTTGCAAATGTGAAATTTTATCTGAGAATGAAAAAAATGATTATTTCAATGAATTGTTATTTTTTTTCTTTTTTAATATTCTATCATTGAGAAGCGTTTTTATTTATCGTTTCTCATTGATTGTCGATCGAACTGCAAGGGGTTGATCATTATACTTAACCTGTTAACTGGGTTCACCTCTCTAAATAGAAATTGAATCTCTCTCTCTCTCTCTCTCTAATTTATACTTGCTTCTTCATTCTGCAAAATGTGAATATGATGTATTTTTTTATTTAATACAGGTAATTTTGTAAAAATTGAATTAAAGATTATAACATATCCCTGGAATGAATGAACTCTACTATGTTCTAAAGGTATTGGTGAACCAACGACGAGCGTTAACTCGTCTCCGGTAGTTAACAGGATTTCGCGAAATATGCAATGTAATGTAACATGTTGTCGAAAATGAATTAAGCGTGTGAATAGCTCTAGACAAAGAAATCCGCGAAGTTGCGAATTCGCCGCCCTTACTTCGCGAAGCTGCGTATGGTCGTATCGATTTTGGCGACGAAGCCGCGCGATACGCGCCACTGTATGCATATGTGTGTGTGTGTGTGTGGGGGGGGGTT